TTATTAGTACAAAGTCACGTAGGTGGTTATTAGTACAAAGTCACGTAGGTGGTTATTAGTACAAAGTCACGTAGATGGTTATTAGTACAAAGTCACGTAGATGGTTATTAGTACAAAGTCACGTAGGTGGTTATTAGTACAACGTCACGTAGATGGTTATTAGTACAAAGTCACGTAGATGGTTATTAGTACAAAGTCACGTAGATGGTTATTAGTACAACGTCACGTAGATGGTTATTAGTACAAAGTCACGTAGATGGTTATTAGTACAAAGTCTCGTAGATGGTTATTAGTACAAAGTCACGTAGATGGTTATTAGTACAAAGTCACGTAGATGGTTATTAGTACAAAGTCACGTAGATGGTTATTAGTACAAAGTCACGTAGATGGTTATTAGTACAAAGTCACGTAGATGGTTATTAGTACAACGTCACGTAGATGGTTATTAGTACAACGTCACGTAGATGGTTATTAGTACAAAGTCACGTAGATGGTTATTAGTACAAAGTCTCGTAGATGGTTATTAGTACAAAGTCACGTAGATGGTTATTAGTACAAAGTCACGTAGATGGTTATTAGTACAAAGTCACGTAGATGGTTATTAGTACAAAGTCACGTAGATGGTTATTAGTACAAAGTCACGTAGATGGTTATTAGTACAAAGTCACGTAGATGGTTATTAGTACAACGTCACGTAGATGGTTATTAGTACAAAGTCACGTAGATGGTTATTAGTACAAAGTCTCGTAGATGGTTATTAGTACAAAGTCACGTAGATGGTTATTAGTACAAAGTCACGTAGATGGTTATTAGTACAAAGTCACGTAGATGGTTATTAGTACAAAGTCACGTAGATGGTTATTAGTACAAAGTCACGTAGATGGTTATTAGTACAACGTCACGTAGATGGTTATTAGTACAACGTCACGTAGATGGTTATTAGTACAAAGTCACGTAGATGGTTATTAGTACAAAGTCTCGTAGATGGTTATTAGTACAAAGTCACGTAGATGGTTATTAGTACAAAGTCACGTAGATGGTTATTAGTACAAAGTCACGTAGATGGTTATTAGTACAAAGTCACGTAGATGGTTATTAGTACAAAGTCACGTAGATGGTTATTAGTACAAAGTCACGTAGATGGTTATTAGTACAAAGTCACGTAGGTGGTTATTAGTACAAAGTGACGTAGGTGGTTATGAGTACAAAGTCACGTAGATGGTTATTAGTACAAAGTCACGTAGATGGTTATTAGTACAAAGTCACGTAGATGGTTATTAGTACAAAGTCACGTAGATGATTATTAGTACAAAGTCACGTAGGTGGTTATTAGTACAAAGTCACGTAGGTGGTTATTAGTACAAAGTCACGTAGATGGTTATTAGTACAAAGTCACCTAGATGGTTATTAGTACAAAGTCACGTAGATGGTTATTAGTACAAAGTCACGTAGATGGTTATTAGTACAAAGTCACGTAGATGGTTATTAGTACAAAGTCACGTAGATGGTTATTAGTACAAAGTCACGTAGATGGTTATTAGTACAAAGTCACGTATATGGTTATTAGTACAAAGTCACGTTGATGGTTATTAGTACAAAGTCACGTAGATGGTTATTAGTACAAAGTCACGTAGATGGTTATTAGTACAAAGTCACGTAGATGGTTATTAGTACAAAGTCACGTAGATGGTTATTAGTACAAAGTCACGTAGATGGTTATTAGTATAAAGTCACTTAGATGGTTATTAGTACAAAGTCACGTAGATGGTTATTAGTACAAAGTCACGTTGATGGTTATTAGTACAAAGTCACGTAGATGGTTATTAGTACAAAGTCACGTAGGTGGTTATTAGTACAAAGTCACGTAGATGGTTATTAGTACAAATTCACGTAGATGGTTATTAGTACAAAGTCACGTAGATGGTAATTAGTACAAAGTCACGTAGGTGGTTATTAGTACAAAGTCACGTAGATGGTTATTAGTACAAAGTCACGTAGATGGTTATTAGTACAAAGTCACGTAGATGGTTGTTAGTACAAAGTCACGTAGGTGGTTATTAGTACAAAGTCTCGTAGATGGTGATTAGTACAAAGTCTCGTAGATGGTTATTAGTACAAAGTCACGTAGATGGTTATTAGTACAAAGTCACGTAGATGGTTATTAGTACAAAGTCACGTAGATGGTTATTAGTACAAAGTCACCTAGATGGTTATTAGTACAAAGTCACGTAGATGGTTATTAGTACAGTCACGTAGATGGTTATTAGTACAAAGTCACGTAGATGGTTATTAGTACAAAGTCACGTAGATGGTTATTAGTACAAAGTCACGTAGATGGTTATTAGTACAAAGTCACGTAGATGGTTATTAGTACAAAGTCACGTAGATGGTTATTAGTATAAAGTCACGTAGATGGTTATTAGTACAAAGTCACGTAGATGGTTATTAGTACAAAGTCACGTTGATGGTTATTAGTACAAAGTCACGTAGATGGTTATTAGTACAAAGTCACGTAGGTGGTTATTAGTACAAAGTCACGTAGATGGTTATTAGTACAAATTCACGTAGATGGTTATTAGTACAAAGTCACGTAGATGGTTATTAGTACAAAGTCACGTAGGTGGTTATTAGTACAAAGTCACGTAGATGGTTATTAGTACAAAGTCACGTAGATGGTTATTAGTACAAAGTCACGTAGATGGTTGTTAGTACAAAGTCACGTAGGTGGTTATTAGTACAAAGTCTCGTAGATGGTGATTAGTACAAAGTCTCGTAGATGGTTATTAGTACAAAGTCACGTAGATGGTTATTAGTACAAAGTCACGTAGATGGTTATTAGTACAAAGTCACGTAGATGGTTATTAGTACAAAGTCACCTAGATGGTTATTAGTACAAAGTCACGTAGATGGTTATTAGTACAAAGTCACGTAGATGGTTATTAGTACAAAGTCACGTAGATGGTTATTAGTACAAAGTCACCTAGATGGTTATTAGTACAAAGTCTCGTAGGTGGTTATTCTTTGAACCTATCTCCGTGAATTTACGGAAAGACCCCAACAAAGATGAATGCCCGAAGTCGTGAAAGTTTAAAGTCGTTCACCGCTTGGTCACTTGTCGCTTGTTTGGATGGTGGTTCCCAGTCAGGTGGCCTGGCTCCGCCCCCTTTGTGGCCTGGTCACGCCCCCTTGTGGCCTGGCTCCGCCCCCTTGTGGCCTGGCTACGCCCCCTTGTGGCCTGGCAACGCCCCCTTGTGGCCTGACTACGCCTGCCTTGTGGCCTGGCAACGCCCCCTTGTGGCCTGGCAACGCCCCCTTGTGGCCTGGCAACGCCCCTTTGTGGCCTGGCTACGCCCCCTTGTGGCCTGGCTACGCCCCCTTGTGGCCTGGCTACGCCCCCTTGCGGCTGATTGACGTCAGCATGGCCTGGTGGTTGTTGTTGTGGTAGTTGTTAATGTTGTAGTTGTTGTTGTAGTTGTTCATGTGGTTGTTGTTGTGGTTGTTGTTGTGGTTGATGCGGATGTTGTTGCGGTGGTTGATGTGGTTGTTGTTGTAGTGGTTGTAGTTGTTAATGTTGTGGTTGTTGATGTGGTTGTCGTTGTGGTTGATGCGGTTGTTGTAGTGGTTGTAGTTGTTAATGTTGTGGTTGTTGTGGTTGATGTGGTTGTGGTTGTTAATGTTGTGGTTGTTGTGGTTGTTAATGTGGTTGTTGTGGTGGTTGTTAATATTGTTGTAGTGGTTGATGTGGTTGTTGTTGTGGTGGTTGATGTCGTTGTTGTTGTGGTGGTTGATGTTGTTGTATTGTTGTTGTGGTGGTGGGTGATGTGGTTGTTGTTGTGTTGTTGTTATGGTGGTGGTTGATGTGGTTGTTGTGTTGTTGTTGTGGTGGTTGTAGTTAATATTGTTGTGGTGTTTGATGTGGTTGTTGTTGTTGTGGTGGTTGATGTGGTTGTTGTTGTGTTGTTGTGTTGTTGTTGTGGTGGAGGTTGTAGTTAATAGTTGTGGTGGTTTATGTGGATGTTGTTGTTGTGTTGTTGTTGTTGTTGTAGTTAATAGGTGTTGTTGTTGTTGTGGTGGTGATTGTTGTTGTGTTGTTGTTGTTGTGGTTGTTGTTGTTGATGTGGTTGTTGTGGTTGTTGTGGTTGTTGATGTGGTTGTTGATGTTGTTGTTGATGTTGTTGTTGTAGTTGATGTGGTTGTTGTTGTTGTTGTAGTTGATGTGGTTGTTGTGGTTGTTGTTGTGCTAGTTGATGTGGTTGTTGTTGTTGTTGTGGTAGTTGATGTGGTTGTTGTTGTGTTGTTGTAGTTGATGTGGTTGTTGTGGTTGTTGTTGTTGTGGTAGTTGATGTGGTTGTTGTTGTTGTTGTGGTTGTTGATGTGGTTGTTGATGTGGTTGTTGTTGTGGTAGTTGATGTGGTTGTTGTTGTGTTGTTGTTGTGGTTGTAGTTAATAGTTGTGGTAGTTGATGTGGTAGTTGATGTGGTTGTTGTGTTGTTGTTGTTGTGGTTGTTGTGGTGGTGGTGGTGATTTTGGTTGTTGTTGTTGTGGTTGTAGTTGTGTTGTTGTTGTTGATGTGGTTGTTGTTGTTGTGGTTGTGGTGGTAGTTGATGTTGTTGTGGTTGTTGTTGTTGATGTTGTTGTAGTGATTGTTGTTGTTGATGTTGTTGATGTAGTGATTGTTGTGTTGTTGTTGTTGTGGTTGTTGTTGTGTTGTTGTTGTGGTTGTTGTTGTTGTGGTTGTTGTTGTGGTAGTTGATGTGGTTGTGGGGGTAGTTGATGTTGTTGTGGTTGTTGTTGTTGATGTTGTTGTTGTAGTGATTGTTGTTGTTGTTGATGTTGTTGATGTAGTGATTGTTGTGTTGTTGTTGTTGTGGTTGTTGTTGTTGTTGTGTTGTTGTGGTTGTTGTTGTGGTTGTTGATGTGGTTGTTGTTGTGTTGTTGTTGTTGATGTGTTTGTTGTTGTGTTGTGGTTGTGGTGGTGGTTGTTGATGTAGTGATTGTTGTTGTGGTTGTTGTTGTTGTTGTGTTTGTAGCTGTACCAGCAGGGCCGTCTCTGCCAGCTGGGTGGGGAGTTTTGTGAGTTGGACGTCTTCACCAAAGTGCTGAGGGCGTCCGACAAGAGGTGAGACATCGCTCACCACTCACCACTCACTCACCAATTACTCACCACTCACTTACTCACCACTCACTCACCACTCACCACTCACTCACCACTCACTCACCAATTACTCACTCACCAATTACTCACCACTCACTTACTCACCACTCACTCACCACTCACTCACTCACCACTCACTCACCACTCACTCACCACTTACTCACCACTCACTCACCACTTACTCACCACTCACTCACCAATTACTCACCAATTACTCACCACTCACTCACCACTCACTCAGCACTCACCACTCACTCACCACTCACTCACCAATTACTCACCACTCACTTACTCACCACTCACTCAGCACTCACCACTCACTCACCACTCACTCACCACTCACTCACTCACCACTCACCCACTCACTCACTCACCACTCACCCACTCACTCACTCACCACTCATCACTCACCCACTCACTCACCACTCACTCACCACTCACTCACTCACCACTCACTCACCACTCACTCACCACTCACCCACTCACTCACTCACCACTCATCACTCACCACTCACTCACCACTCACTCACCAATTACTCACTCACCACCCACTCACCACTCACTCACCACTCACTCACTCACCACTCACTCAGCACTCACTCATCACTCACTCACCACTCACTCACCAATTACTCACCACTCACCACTCACCAATTACTCACCACTCACTCACCACTCACTCACTCACCACTCACTCACCACTCACTCACTCACCCACTCACTCACCACTCACTCACTCACCACTCACCCACTCACTCACTCACCACTCATCACTCACCACTTACTCACGACTTACTCACCACTCACTCACCCACTCACTCACCACTCACTCACCATTCACTCACCAATTACTCACCACTCACTCACCACTCACTCACTCACTCACCAATTACTCACCACTCACTCACCAATTACTCACCACTCACTCACCACTCACTCACCAATTACTCACCACTCACTCACCACTCACTCACTCACCACTCACTCAGCACTCACCACTCACTCAGCACCCACTCACCCACTCACTCACCACTCACCACTCACTCACCACTCACCACTCACTCACTCACCACTCACTCACCACTCACCACTCACTCACCAATTACTCACCACTCACTTACTCACCACTCACTCAGCACTCACCACTCACTCACCACTCACTCACTCACCACTCACCCACTCACTCACTCACCACTCACCCACTCACTCACTCACCACTCATCACTCACCCACTCACTCACCACTCACTCACCACTCACTCACTCACCACTCACTCACCACTCACTCACCAATTACTCACTCACCACCCACTCACCACTCACTCACCACTCACTCACTCACCACTCACTCAGCACTCACTCACCACTCACTCACCAATTACTCACCACTCACCACTCACTCACCAATTACTCACCACTCACTCACTCAGCACTCACCACTCACTCAGCACTCACTCACCACTCACTCACTCACCACTCACTCACCAATTACTCACCACTCACTCACCACTCACTCACTCACCATTCACTCACCACTCACTCACCACTCACTCACTCACCACTCACTCACCACTCACTCACTCACCCACTCACTCACCACTCACTCACTCACCACTCACCCACTCACTCACTCACCACTCACCACTTACTCACGACTTACTCACCACTCACTCACCCACTCACTCACCACTCACTCACCATTCACTCACCAATTACTCACCACTCACTCACCACTCACTCACCAATTACTCACCACTCACTCACCAATTACTCACCACTCACTCACCACTCACTCACTCACCAATTACTCACCACTCACTCACCACTCACTCACTCACCACTCACTCAGCACTCACCACTCACTCAGCACCCACTCACCCACTCACTCACCACTCACTCACCACTCACCACTCACTCACTCACCACTCACTCACCACTCACTCACTCACTCACCACTCACTCACCAATTACTCACCACTCACTCACTCACCACTCAGCACTCACTCACCACTCACTCACCACTCACTCACTCACCACTTACTCACCACTTACTCATCACTCACTCAGCACTCACTCACCACTCACTCACCACTCACTCATCACTCACTCACTCACCACTCACTCATCACTCACTCACTCACTCACCACTCACTCATCACTCACTCACCAATCACTCACTCACCACTCACTCACTCAGCACTCACCACTCACTCAGCACCCACTCACCACTTGCTCACCACTCACTCACTCAGCACTCACTCACCACTCACTCACTCACCACTCACTCACTCACCACTCACTCACTCACTCACCACTCACTCACCACTCACTCAGCACTCACCACTCACTCACCACTTACTCACTCACTCACCACCCACTCACCACTTACTCACTCACTCACTCACCACTCACTCACCACTCACTCACTCACCACTCACTCACCACTTACTCACTCACCACTCACTCACTCATCACTCACTCACTCACCACTTACTCATCACTCACTCACTCAGCACTCACTCACCACTCACTCAGCACCCACTCACCACTCACTCACCACTCACTCACCACTTACTCATCACTCACTCATCACTCACTCAGCACTCACTCACCACTCACTCACCACTTACTCACTCAGCACTCACTCACCACTCACTCAGCACCTACTCAGCACCCACTCACCACTCACTCACCACTCACCACTTACTCATCACTTACTCATCACTCACTCAGCACTCACTCACCACTCACTCACCACTTACTCACTCAGCACTCACTCACCACTCACCCACTCACTCACTACTCACTCAGCACTCACTCACCACTCACTCACTCAGCACTCACTCACCACTCACTCATCACCCACTCACCACTCACCACTTACTCACCCACTTAGTGTGTGTGTCTATCTGTGTGTGTATCTATCTGTGTGTCTACCTGTGTGTGTGTGTCTATCTGTGTCTCTGTGTGTGTCTATCTGTGTGTGTCTCTGTGTCTATCTGTGTGTGTGTCTATATGTGTGTGTCTCTGTGTGTGTGTCTATGTGTGTGTCTCTGTGTGTGTGTCTATGTGTGTGTCTAGCTGTGTGTCTACCTGTGTGTGTGTCTATCTGTGTGTGTCTATCTGTGTCTACCTGTGTGTGTGTGTCTATCTGTGTCTCTGTGTGTGTGTCTATCTGTGTGTCTACCTGTGTGTGTGTCTATCTGTGTCTCTGTGTGTGTGTCTATCTGTGTCTCTGTGTGTGTGTCTCTGTGTGTGTTTCTATCTGTGTGTGTCAATCGGTGATGGGGCAGTTGTGGAGAGTTTCCCATACCTGGGCAGTGTGCTCATTACCGGCTCTGGTTTAACGGCAGAGGTTTCACTCCGAATCAGTCGAGCGACAATATTTTTTCATCGGTTGCGTAACGCTGAGTGGAAGCTACCTGGTCTGTCGCTCCGCACGAAGCTTCAGGTTTTCTCGGCCACGGTCATTCCCTCCCTTCTCTACGCTTGCGAAACGTGGCCTCAAGGTGCACATGGCCTGGCACAAGCGTCGTGGTGATGTCACCGCCACTTAGTGGTGAATGGTGGTTGTTGTTGTGTCTATCTGTGTGTGTGTCTATCTGTGTCTATCTCTGTGTTTATCTGTGTTTGTGTCTATCTGTGTGTGTGTCTATCTGTGTGTGTGTCTGTGTGCGTGTCTGTGTGTGTGTCTGTGTGCGTGTCTGTGTGTGTGTCTATCTGTGTGTGTCTATCTCTGTGTTTATCTGTGTGTGTGTGTGTGTCTGTGTGTGTGTGTGTCTATCTCTGTGTCTATCTGTGTGTGTCTAATCTCTGTGTTTATCTGTGTGTCTGTGTGTGTGTCTGTGTTTGTGTCTATCTGTGTGTGTGTCTGTGTGTGTGTCTATCTCTGTGTCTATCTGTGTGTGTCTTTGTGTGTCTATCTGTGTGTGTGTGTCTGTGTGTGTCTATCTCTGTGTCTATCTGTGTGTGTCTATCTGTGTGTGTCTCTGTGTGTGTCTATCTGTGTGTCTACCTCTGTGTTTATCTGTGTGTGTGTGTATCTGTGTGTGTCTCTGTGTTTGTGTCTATCTGTGTGTTTATCTGTGTGTGTCTGTGTGTGTGTCTGTGTGTGTGTTTATCTGTGTGTGTCTATCTGTGTGTGTCTCTGTGTGTGTGTCTGTGTGTGTGTCTATCTGTGTGTGTCTATCTCTGTGTTTGTCTGTGTGGTGTGTCTCTCTCTGTGTGTGTGTCTACCTCTGTGTTTATCTGTGTGTGGTGTGTCTCTCTCCCCCTTAGACACCTGCTACACCACTGCTTCCAGGCCCTCATGGACCATGGGGTCCGTGTCTCCTCCGTCTTGGCCCAAGCCTTCAGCCGCCGCTGCGGCTGCCTGCAACCGACAGCCACCGCCGCTCACGACAAAGCCATCAGCCTGGCCGCCTCGCTCGGTTAGACAGCTCTAGTTAGACAACTCTAGTTAGACAACTCTACGTAGACACTCTACATAGATAGACAAAAGCCATCAGCCTGGCCTCCTCTCTCGGTCGGACAACACTCACTGTAGATAGACACACAGATCGACACACAGATAGACACACACAGATAGACACACACAGATAGACACACACACACAGATAGAGACACGGGCAACGCTGTCATGGGCAGTGCCGTGGAGGAAGGGCCAATTCCGATTGGCCTCTCCCCTCATGGCGTCTGTGACCACCACAGCGGCTAAATGGGGGCTTTGGATGGGTGCGAGGGGCTGGTAACCCCTCCACCTTCAATTAATTACCACTCAACCACGACTGAAATATCTAACTAATAAGCTTGTGCCGGAGGCCCCGGGGGGACAGGCGTCTATGACGTCTCCTGGCCAAACCCCAATTGGCGGAGCCAGGAGATTGAATCTCTACCCTCGGGGCTCCTCCAGAAACAACGAAAAGCCACTACGGATGGCCACGTGGAATGTTCGAACGCTCACTGCGGAGGAGAGGCTGCCACTCCTCTGTCGGGAGCTGGACCGGTACCGCCTGGATCTCTGTGGCATTCAGGAGGTCCGGTAGACCGGCTCTGGCTCCTGCCACCATGAGGGGTGGACATTCCTCTACTCGGGGCAGGAGAATGCCAAACAACAGGGTGTGGCTCTTCTTCTGAATAAAATAATGAAGGGGGCGTGGGAGCGTGGCGGTGAGGTGTGGGAAGCTGTAAGCCCCAGGCTACTTTGGGCTCGCCTTCCCATCAACCGGAGGCGAGGAGTGGTTGTCGTGGTTACTTATGCCCCCACCAAAGACGAACATCCGTGGATGGATGCAGGCAAGGCCGATGAGTCAGATGCCATCTATGACCTGTCACAGGTGCTAGCTAAAGTGGACCCTCATGATAGTCATCTTGTTGGGTGACTTTAATGCCCGAGTTGGTCATGATGCTGGCATCTGGTCTGGAGTAATTGGAAGGCATGGGCCAGATCAGCTCAATAACAACGACAGGAGGCTGCTAGATGTTTGTGCAGCCCATGGGCTTGTAATTACCAACACGCTGTTCCGGCATCGGCGCATCCACACAACATCATGGATGCATGCCGGGTCCAAGCAAGAACATCTGCTGGACTACATAGTGCCTGCCATTCTTCTACTCTGGTGGTAGGTGTACACCCAGGACCCCATTGAAACCCTTAGTGGCATGGTCTCAGCTAGCTGATGAAAGTTGCAAGCGAGAATTTCATCATTGCTTGTGGCTGGGGTTGGCATCGTCCCCCACTCTTCCTGATGTCGAGGGGAAATGGGCGAGGTTTAGGACTGTGGCTCATGTAGCTGCAATGGCTGCTTTGGGTACACGGTCCAGACCTCCCCAGAGACCCTGGCTGACAGAGGAATTGTTCAAGCTGGCTGAGAAAAAGCGACAGGCCCACTCTAATCATCTACAGCATCCCACGTCGGAGAATGAGGAGGCTTACGGCAGCCTTCGCTCGGAGGTTCGGAGAGCCGTGAGGCGCTGCAAGGATGGGTGGTGGTCGCGGGTTGCTGAGGAGATGGAGTCTGCCTCAGTGGCCCGCGATCACAAATCGCTCTTTAACTCCATCAAAAAAGTAACCTGCAGCACCACACCTATTACTATCATTAGGGGAAAGAACGGTGATCCAATCTCCGACCCCCAGGAACAGGTTTGCAGATTTGCTGAGCATTTCTGTGAGGTCCTGGGGGAGGGGAAATCCCTCAGCCAGGAAAACATCGTGGCACAAAGTGGGGATGACCCTGCTGAGGCTTCGGTGCCTCAAATATTGGAGGAGGAAGTCACCCCCTGTGAGTGGCTGGCTGAGGTGCCATCTGTTGAGGAAGTACTGAAGGCGATCCAGAGTCTGAGACCAGGAATGGCACCGGGCAAAGATGATCTCCCAAGCGAAATGCTGAGGGAGGGTGGCGTTTGTGCACAGACTGCCCTACATGACATCATAATAACAGTCTGGACTTCTGGACGGGTTCCACAGGATTGGAAGGATGCCCTGGTGGTCCTCCTTTTTAAGAAGGGGGACCTCACAGACTGTAACAACTACAGGGGCATCTCACTCCTCAGTGTGATGGGAAAGGTCCTGGCAAGGATTATTCAATATCGCCTTGCCAGGCCCGCTGAGGAGAGGCTTGCGGAGCCCCAATGCGGTTTCAGGAAAGGGCGGTCCTGCACAGATGCCATATTTTCTGTCCGTCTGCTACAGCAGAGGTGTAGGGAATTCCAGCAAGACCTACATCTCTGCTTTATTGACCTGGTCAAGGCCTATGATACCATTAATAGGCCTGGGCTCTGGGGTGTTCTTCGTGCTTTTGGAGTACCTGACCCTCTGCTCACGATCATTAAGGACCTTCATGATGGTGAGCGGGCCCGGTAAAACTACGTGGCCGGGAGTCGGAGCCATTCCCTCTCTACACCTTGGGGTGCGACAGGGATGTCCTCTGGCTCCCACATTATTTAACATCTATTTTGACCACGTAGTTCGTGAAGCCTTCCATGGCTGTACCGGAGGAATTTCCATCTGGTACAGATACAATGGGAGGCTGATCGATGCCCGGATGCGGTCAAGGGATGGCTCCCTATTGCTCAACCACGTTATGTATGCCGATGATCTGGTGATAGCTGCTCACTCAGAGGAGGAGTTGGAGGTGCGGCTGTTGAACCTGGAGCTTGCCACTAAGAGGTGGGGCCTTACCATCAGCCCCACCAAAACTAAGCACCTGCTTGGGTATTTTGTACCATCGGACAATCCACCCCCACAACTCCCAATTGGTGATGGGGCAGTTGTGGAGAGAGTGGAGAGTTTCCCATACCTGAGCAGTGTGCTTATGACCGGTTCCAGTTTAGCAGCAGAGGTCTCACTCCGAATCAGTCGAGCGGCAATATCTTTTCATCAGTTGCGTAACGCTGTGTGGAAGCTACCTGGTCTCTCGCTCCGCACGAAGCTTCGGGTCTTCTCGGCCACGGTTATTCCCTCCCTTCTCTACACTTGCGAAACGTGGATCCCCTTAATGGAACATCTTCGCTGGTTAGAAACATTTTAGCTGGCCTGCTTACGATCCTTCCTGGGTTTAACCAGGCTGGATTGTGTGAGGATCTCAAAAATCCTCGAAAGATCTGGACAAAGTCCCATCGGTGAGCTCCTCCGGCGGGCAAGGCTGCGATGGCTGGGTCATGTAGCCCGTATGCCCAGCCAACGCATGCCGAAACAGCTTTTGTTCGGCCGGATTGAGGGGGCTAAGCGGGCGCGGCACGGGCTAGAGAAGAGATGGAGTGATGTGGTACAGGAGGACGTGGAGCTGAGTGGACTTGCCGATGACCGGTACCAGCGGTGTCAAGATCGACCTCTGTGGAGGAGGCTCGTGAAGGACGCTAATGGGCAGTTGGAGGTAGTCGCCCTCCAACAACAACGGAGGGCGGAGGAGTGACGCTCACAACAACGAGCGGAGCGCCGGGTGGCTAAAGCACAGCAGGTTGGCACAGTAGGGGGCACAGGTGGTGCATCAGCCAGTCATCTCAGTCAGTTGACCCGTGGCACCTGGGTCTGCCCCGTGACCTCCTGCCAGCGGGCGTTTGACACTTCACGTGGCCTCAAGGTGCACATGGCCTGGCACAAGCGTCGTGGTGACGTCACCGCCACTTAGTGGCGAATGCCGGTTGTTGTTTGTGTGTATATGTGACTATGTGTGTGTATGACTATGTGTGTGTGTGACTATGTCTGTGTGTGTCTGTGTGTGTCTCTGTGTGTGTCTGTGTGTGTGTCTCTGTGTGTGTGTGTGTGTGACTGTGTGTCTGTGTGTGTGTATGTGTGTATATGACTATGTGTGTGACTGTCTCTGTGTGTGTGTGTCTGTGTGTGTGTGTGTGACTTTGTCTGTGTGTGTCTCTGTGTGTGTCTCTGTGTGTGTGTGTCTGTGTGTGTGCATGTGTGTATATGACTATGTGTGTGACTGTCTCTGTGTGTGTGTGACTGTGTGTGTTTGTGTATGTGTGTATATGACTGTGTGTGTGTGACTGTGTGTGTGTGATGCAGGTGGGTTCCTGTCGGATGCTGGCTGGTATGCGGACGCAGAGAAAGTGTTTGTGTCGTCTCTGCAGCTGTGCCTCATGCACAGCGACACAGCCCACACACAGCAAGCTGTGGAGTGTTACAGCAGGTAGGCTCGGGTGTGACGCACAGCAGGTACACACTGCGTGTGTGTGTACACCTGTGTGTGTGTACACTGTGTGTGTGTGTACACTGTGTGTGTACACCTGTGTGTGTGTACACCTGTGTGTGTGTCTACACTGTGTGTGTACACTGTGTGTGTGTGTGTACACCTGTGTGTGTGTGTGTACACCTGTGTGTGTGTACACCTGTGTGTGTACAACTGTGTGTGTACACCTGTGTGTGTGTACACCTGTGTGTGTACACGTGTGTGTGTGTGTGTGTACACTGTGTGTGTACACCTGTGTGTGTGTACACCTGTGTGTGTGTGTGTACACTGTGTGTGTGTGTACACCTGTGTGTGTGTACACCTGTGTGTGTACATCTGTGTGTGTATGTACGCCTGTGTGTGTGTGTGTACACCTGTGTGTGTGTGTATACACCTGTGTGTGTGTACACCTGTGTGTGTACACTGTGTGTGTACACCTGTCTGTGTGTGTACACCTCAGTGTGTGTGTACAAATGTGTGTGTGTACACGTGTGTGTGTACACGTGTGTGTGTGTGTGCACGTGTGTGTGTGTGCACTGTGTGTGTGTACACCTGTGTGTGTACACCTGTGTGTGTGTGCACCTGTGTGTGTGTGTGTGTACACGTGTGTGTGTGTGTACACGTGTGTGTGTGTACACTGTGTGTGTGTGTACACACCTGTGTGTGTGTGTACACCTGTGTGTGTGTACACACCTGTGTGTGTGTGTGTACACCTGTGTGTGTGTGTGTACACTGTGTGTGTGTACACCTGTGTGTGTGTGTGTACACCTGTGTGTGTGTGTACACACCTGTGTGTGTGTGTACGTAGGCTGCTGCACGTGCGTAACGGCAACTGCAAGTATCACCTGGGAGCTGACACTTTTGCCGAGGCTCGTGCCTGCCTCCTGCGCCTGCAGCAGCAGCTGCAGCAGCAACAGCAGCAACAGCAGCAACAGCAAAACCTACAGCACCAACAGCATCAAGAACTACAGCACCAACAGCAGCACCAACATCAAGACCTACAGCGCCAACAACAGCAAGACCTACAGCAACAGCAGCACCAACAGCAAGACCGACAGCACCAACAACAACAAGACATACAGTGCCAACAACAGCATCACCAACAGCAAGACCTACAGCACCAACGTCAGCAAGACCCTCAGCAGCAGCAAGACCTTCAGCACCAACGTCAGCAAGACCTACAGCACCAACAACAGCAAGACCTACAGCAACAGCAACAGCAGCACCAACAGCAAGACCTACAGCACCAACAACAGCGGCACCAACAGCAAGACCTACAGCACCAACAACATCAAGACCTACAGCACCAACAACAGCAAGACATACAGCAACAGCAGCACCAACAGCAAGACTTACAACATCAAGACCTACAGCACCAACAGCAAGACCTACAGCACCAACATCCTCAAGACCTACAGCACCAACAACAGCAGCACCAACATCAAGACCTACAGCGCCAACAACAGCAAGACCTACAGCACCAACAACATCAAGACCTACAGCAACAGCAAAACCAACAGCAAGACCTACAGCACCAACATCATCAAGTCCTACATCACCAACAACAGCAGCACCAACATCAAGACCTACAACAGCAAGACCTACAGCACCAACAACAGCAAGACCTACAGCAGCTACAGCAGCAGCTACAGCAGCAGCAGCTACAGCAGCAGCAGGCAGCAGTGTTGGGAGGACAGCAGAGCATCCTGTACGGAGAGCTGTGTTCCCTGCTGTTCGCTAAGAGCCACTACGATGAGGTACATGCTGAAGGGGTGATGATGGTGGTGGTGGTGGTGATGGTGGTGGTGATGGTGATGGTAGTGGTGATGGTGGTGGTGATGGTGATGGTAGTGGTGATGGTGGTGGTGATGGTGGTGGTGATGGTGATGGTGGTGGTGATGGTGGTGATGGAGGTGGTGATGGTGGTGGTGGTGATGGTGGTGGTGATGGTGGTGGTGATGGTGGTGGTGATGGTGGTGGTGGTGATGGTGGTGGCGGTGATGACGTCTCCTGGCCAAACTCCCATTTGGCGGAGCCAGGAGATTGAATATCCACCCTCGGGGCTCCTCCAGAAGCAGCGAAAAACCACTACGTGTGGCCACGTGGAAAGTTCGAGCGCTCACCGCGGAGGAGAGGCTGCCCACTCCTCCGTCGGGAGCTGGACCGGTACCGCCTGGATCTCTGTGGCATTCAGGAGGTCCGGTGGACCGGTTCTGGCTCCTGCCACCATGAGGGGTGGACAGTCCCTCTACTCGGGGCAGCAGACTGCCAAACAGCAGGGTGTGGCTCTTTTTCTGAGCAAAAGAATGAAGGGGGCGTGGGAGCGTGGCGGTGAGGTGTGGGAAGCTGTAAGCCCCAGGCTACTTTGGGCTCGCCTTCCCATCAACCTGGAGGCGAGGAGTGGTGATCCTGGTTACTTATGCCTCCCACCAAAGACGAGCATCCGTGGAGGGATGCAGGCAAGGCCGATGAGTCAGATGCCTTCTATGACCTCCTGTCACAGGTGCTGGCTAAAGTGGCCCCTCGGGATAGAGTCATCATGTTGGGCGACTTCAATGCCCGAGTTGGTCACGACGCTGGCACCTGGTCTGGAGTGATTGGAGGGCATGGGCCAGATCAGCTCAATAACAACGGCAGGAGGCTGTTTGACTTTTTTTGCAGCCCATGGGCTTGTAATTGCAGTGGGTTCAACTGAGTCGCAGACGTAGACTTGGAGGCGACACACTGATTCAGTTCCAACACATGGGGTGACTTTCCCCTTAACAGAATAACAACCTGTGGTGGTGACCACCAGGCTAACTAAGACTAGCTGCAACGTAACTAGACTAAGTTTTGATCTAAAGCTTTCGTGACTGCAGTGATTCATATTCTTGGTTCTTTCGGGAAAGTCACCACCGCGTTGAAGGGAAACAATAAAATAATAAAATATATATAAAACAATACAATTCTCAGAGGAAGTTTTATTGTTTTTTTTATATATACACTTTATTATTTTATTGTTTCCCTTCGACGCGACTTTACCGAAAGAACCAAGAATATGTAACTGGACTCGTCACAACTTAACTAGCTACTACGGACCGGGAACCAACGGCTTGGGTTCCGGGTTCCACGTGCTGGAGACTCGTTGAACGGAGGACGGAGGATTAACAACGACCCTGGTCTCCTCTCGGGAACCCGGCTTAGATCCTCTGCAGCGTGGCCGGCTCTGCCCTTGGCCACGCCCCCCACCTTCTAGAATCCTCCGGGAGGATTTGGATCCCGACCAGGTGACCACCCCAACCCCCCTCTAGGGGCCCCTGTGTAGACTTAACCGGTCACGTGTCCTCCCGGGTCAACCGGAGCGCCACGCCCTTCAGTAACCTCGTCCCTACGGCGGGCACTCACACACACCCTGTCCTGTAGGGGTCCGCACTGCACGGCAAGCGTGGTGCCATCCGCACACACTACACACACACACACTACACACACACACCACACACACACATACACTACACACACACACACTACACACACTACACACACACATACACTACACACACACACTACACACATACACCATACACACACATACACTACACACACACACTACACACACACTACACACACACTACACACACACACTACACACATACACCACACACACACTACACACACACACATACACTACACACACACACACTACACACACATACACTACACACACACTACACACACACACTACACACACACTACACACACACATACACCACACACACTACACACACACTGCACACACACTACTACACACATACACTACACACACACACTGCACACACACACTACACACACACATACACTACACACACACACTACACACACACTACACACACACTACACACACACATACACCACACACACTACACACACACTGCACACACACTACTACACACATACACTACACACACACACTGCACACACACACTACACACACACATACACTACACACACACTACACACACACACTACACACATACACTACACACACACACTGCACACACACATACACCACACACACTACACACACACTGCACACACACTACTACACACATACACTACACACACACACTACACACATACACTACACACACACTACACACACACACACACACTACACACACACACATACACTACACACACTACACACACACATACACCACACTACACACACACTACACACACACTACACACACACACTACACACACACTACACACACATACACCACACACACACATACACTACACACACACACTACACACACATACACTACACACACACTACACACACACACATACACTACACACACACATACACACACACATACACCACACTACACACACACTACACACACACTACACATACACTACTACACACATACACTACACACATACACTGCACACACACACTACACACACATACACTACACACACACACACTACACACACACACTACACACACACTTCACACACACTCATACACTACACACACACTCATACACTACACACACACATACAACAACAACAACAACCGCCATTCGCCACTAAGTGGCGGTGACGTCACCACGACGCTTGTGCCAGGCTATGTGCACCGTGAGGCCACGTGAAGTGTCAAACGCCCGCTGGCAGGAGGTCACTGGGCAGACCCAGGTGCCATGGGTCGACTGACTGAGATGACTGGCTGATGCACCACCTGTGCCCCCTACTGTGCCAACCTGCTGTGCTTTAGCCACCCGGCGCTCCGCTCGTTGTTCTGAGCGTCGCTTCTCCGCCCTCCGTTGTTGTTGGAGGGCGACTGCCTCCAACTGCCCAGTAGCGTCCTTCACGAGCCTCCTCCACAGAGGCCGATCTTGACACCGCTGGTACCAGTCACCGGCAAGTCCACTCAGCTCCACGTCCTCCTGTACCACATCACTCCATCTCTTCTCTAGCCCGTGCCGCGCCCGCTTAGCCCCCTCAATCTGGCCAAACAAAAGCTGTTTCGGAGATGCGGTGGCTGGGCATGCGGGCTACATGACCCAGCCATCGCAGCCTTGCCTGCCGGAGGAGCTCACCGATGGGACCCTGCCCAAATCTTTCAAGGATTTGTGAGCTCCTCACACATCCAGTCTGGTTAAACCCAGGATGGATCGTAGGCAGGCCAGCCTAAATGTTTCTAACCGGCGAAGATGTTCCATTAGGGGGGTCCACGTTTCGCAAGCGTAGAGAAGGGAGGGAATGACCGTGGCCGAGAAGACCTGAAGCTTAGTGCGGAGCGACAGACCAGGTAGCTTCCACACAGCGTTACGCAACCGATGAAAAGATATTGCCGCTCGACTGATTCGGAGTGAGACCTCTGCTGTTAAACTGGAGCCAGTCATAAGCACACTGCCCAGGTATGGGAAACTCTCCACTCTCTCCACAACTGCCCCATCACCGATTGGGAGTTGTGGGGGTGGAGTGTCCGATGGTACAAAATACCCAAGCAGGTGCTTAGTTTTGGTGGGGCTGATGGTAAGGCCCCACCTCTTAGTGGCACGCTCCAGTCTCAGCAGCAGCGTCTCCAACTCCTCCTCTGACTGAGCAGCTATTACCAAATCATCAGCATACATAACGTGGTTGAGCAATAGGGAGCCATCCCTTGACCGCACCCGGGCATCGATCAGCCTCCCATTATATCTGTACCATATGGAGATTTCCCCGGTACCGCCATCGAAGTCTTCATGAACTGCGTGGTCAAAATAGATCTTAAATAATGTGGGAGCCAGAGGACATCCCTGTCGCACCCCAAGGTGTACAGGGAATGGCTCTGACTCCCGGCCACATAGTTTTACCCGGGCCCGCTCACCATCATGAAGGTCCTTAATGATCGTGAGCAGAGGGTCAGGTACTCCAAAAGCACGAAGAACGACCCAGAGCCCAGGCCTACTGATGGTATCATAGGCCTTGACCAGGTCAATAAAGCAGAGATGTAGGTCTTGTTGGAATTCCCTACACCTCTGCTGTAGCAGACGGACAGAAAATATGGCATCTGTGCAGGACCGCCCTTTCCTGAAACCGCATTGGGGCTCCGCAAGCCTCTCCTCAGCGTGCCTGGCAAGGCGATGCTGAATAATCCTTGCCAGGACCTTTCCCGGCACACTGAGGAGTGAGATGCCCCTGTAGTTGTTACAGTCTGTGCGGTCCCCCTTCTTAAAAAGGGGGACCACCAGGGCATCCTTCCAATCCTGCGGAACCCGTCCGGTGGTCCAGACTGTTGTTATGATGTCATATAGGGCAGTCTGTGCACAAACGCCACCCTCCCTCAGCATTTCGCTTGGGAGATCATCTCTGCCCGCTGCCTTTCCTGGTCTCAGACTCCGGATCGCCTTCAATACTTCCTCAGCAGATGGCACGTCAGCCAGCCACTCACAGGGGGTGACTTCTTCCAATATTTGAGGCACCGCAGCCTCAGCAGGGTCATCCTCACTTTGTGCCACGATGTTTTCCTGGCTGAGGGATTTTCCCTCCCCCAGGACCTCACAGAAATGCTCAGCAAATCTGCGAACCTGTTCCTGGGTGTCGGAGATTGGATCACCGTTTTTTCCCCTAATGATGGTAATAGGTGTGGCGCTGCAGGTTACTTTTTTGATGGAGTTAAATAGAGATTTGTGATCACGGGCCACTGAGGCAGACTCCATCTCCTCAGCAACCCGCGACCACCACCCATCCTTGCAGCGCCTCACGGCTCTCCGATAAGCCTCCTCATTCTCTGACGTGGAATTCTGTAGCCGATGACAGTGGGCCTGTCGCTTTTTCTCAACCATCCTGAACACCTCCTCTGTCAGCCAGGGTCTCTGGGGAGGTCTGGACCGTGTACCCAAAGCAGCCATTGCAGCTGCATGAGTCACAGTCCTAAACCTCGCCCATTTACCCTCGACATCAGGAGGAGTCGGGGACGATGCCAATCCCAGCCGCAAGCGATGATGAAATTCTCGCTTGCAACTTTCATCAGATAATTGAGACCAGGCCACTTTATGTTGGAATGGGGTCCTGGGTGTACACCCACCACCGGAGTGGAAGAATGGCAGGCGCATCTTACAGATGACTAGTCGATGGTCAGAGGGCAGATCAGCTCCACGGTAGGTCCTGGTGTCAAGGACATGGGCTCGCATTCGCTGGTCCGTCACTATGTAGTCCAGCAGATGTTCTTGCTTGGACCCGGCATGCATCCATGATGTTGTGTGGATGCGCCGATGCCGGAACAGCGTGTTGGTAATTACAAGCCCATGGGCTGCACAAAAATCTAGCAGCCTCCTACCGTTGTTATTGAGCTGATCTGGCCCATGCCCTCCAATCACTCCAGACCAGGTGCCAGTATCATGACCAACTCGGGCATTGAAGTCACCCAACATGATGACTCTATCCCGAGGGGCCACTTTAGCCAGCACCTGTGACAGGAGGTCATAGAAGGCATCTGACTTATCGGCTTTGCCTGCATCCCTCCACGGATGTTCATCTTCGGTGGGGGCATAAGTAACCACGACCACCATTCCTCGCCTCCGGTTGATGGGAAGGCGAGCCCAAAGTAGCCTGGGGCTTACAGCTTCCCACACCTCACCGCCACGCTCCCACGCCCCCTTCATTCTTTTGTTCAAAAGAAGACCCACACCCTGTTGTTTGGCAGTCTGCTGCCCCGAGTAGAGGACTGTCCACCCCTCATGGTGGCAGGAGCCAGAGCCGGTCCACCGGACCTCCTGAATGCCGCATAGATCCAGGCGGTACCGGTCCAGCTCCCGACAGAGGAGTGGCAGCCTCTCCTCTGCAGTGAGCGTTCGAACATTCCACGTGGCCACCCGTAGTGGCTTTTCGTTGTTTCTGGAGTAGCCCCGAGGGTAGGTATTCAATCTCCTGGCTCCGCCAATTGGGGTTTGGCCAGGAGACGTCATAGACGCCTGGCCCCCCGGGGCCTCCGGCACAAGCTTATTAGTTACATATTTCAGTTTAATTTGTGGTTTCGTGGTAATTAATTGAAGGTGGAGGGGTTACCAGCCCCTCGCACCCATCCAGAGCCCCCGTTTAGCCCCTGTGGTGGACACATATGCCATGCGGGGAGGAGCCAATCAAAATTGGATCTCCCCCCACAGCACTGTCCACGACAGAGTTGCCCGTCCGGCACCGCGAGGAGGTAGGGGGTTGTTTTGCCGGACACATGCACTACGCTACACACACACACTACACACATACACTACGTAATTCCCAACACGCTGTTCCGGCATCGGCGCATCCACGCAACATCACGGATGCATGCCGGGTCCAAGCAGGAACATCTGCTGGACTACATAGTGACGGACCAGCGGATGCGAGCCCATGTCCTTGACACCCAGGACCTACCGTGGAACTGATCTGCCCACTGACCATCGACTTGTCATCTGTAAGATGCGCCTGCCATTCTTCCGCTCCGGTGGTGGGTGTACACCCAGGACCCCATTCAAACCCACAGTGGCCTGGTCTCAGCTAGCTGATGAAAGTTGCGAGCGAGAATTTCATCATCGCTTGCGGCTGGGGTTGGCATCGTCCCCGACTCCTCCTGATGTCGAGGGTAAATGGGCGAGGTTTAGGACTGTGACTCATGCAGCTGCAATGGCTGCTTTGGGTACACGGTCCAGACCTCCCCAGAGACCCTGGCTGACAGAGGAGGTGTTCAGGCTGGCTGAGAAAAAGCGACAGGCCCACTGTCATCGGCTACAGAATCCCACGTCATAGAATGAGGAGGCTTACCGCAGCCTTCGCTCGGAGGTTCGGAGAGCCGTGAGGCGCTGCAAGGATGGGTGGTGGTCGCGGGTTGCTGAGGAGATGGAGTCTGCCTCAATAGCTTGCAATCACAAATCACTCTTTAATTCCATCAAAAAAGTAACTTGTAGTGCCAAGCCTATCACCATCATTAGGGAAAAGAATGGTGATCCCCAGGAATCCCCCAATCTCCGACCCCCAGGAACAGGTTTGCAGATTTTCTGATCATTTATGTGAAGTCCTGGGGGAGGGGAAATCCCTCGACATGGAAAACATCGTGGCACAAAGTGGGGATGACCCCGCCAAGGCTGCAGTGCCTCAAATATTGGAAGAAGTCACCCCCTGTGAGTGGCTGGCTGAGGTGCCATCTGTTGAGGAAGTACTGAAGGAGATCCAGAGCCTGAGACCAGGAAAGGCACCGGGCAGAGATGATCTCCCAAGCAAAATGCTGAGGGAGGGTGGCGTTTGTGCACAGACTGCCCTACATGACATCATAACAATCTGGACCACTGGACGGGTTCCGTAGGATTGGAAGGATGCCCTGGTGGTCCCCCTCTTTAAGAAGGGAGACCGCACAGACTGTAACAACTACAGGGGCATCTCACTCCTCAGTGTGCCGGGAAAGGTCCTGGCAAGGATTATTCAGCATCGCCTTGCCAGGCTCGCTGACGAGAAGCTTGCGGAGCCCCAATGAGGTTTCAGGAAAGGGCGGTCCTGCACAGATGCCATATTTTCTGTCCGTCTGCTACAGCAGAGGTATAGGGAATTCCAACAAGACCTACATCTCTGCTTTATTGACCTGGCCAAGGCCTATGATACCATAAGTAGGCCTGGGCTCTGGGTTGTTCTTTGTGCTTTCATAGTCCCTGACCCTCTGCTCACGATCATTAAGGACCTTCATGATGGTGAGCGGGCCCGGTAAAACTACGTGGCCAGGAGTCGGAGCCATTCTCTGTACACCTTGGCGTGCGACAGGGATGTCCTCTGGCTCCCACATTATTTAACATCTATTTTGACCACGCAGTTCGTGAAGACTTCGATGGCGGTACCGGGGAAATCTCCATATGGTACAGATATAATGGGAGGCTGATCGATGCCCGGGTGCGGTCAAGGGATGGCTCCCTATTGCTCAACCACGTTTTGTATGCTGATGATCTGGTAATTGCTGCTCGCTCAGAGGAGGAGTTGGAGGTGCTGCTGCTGAACCTGGAGCTTGCCACTAAGAGATGAGGCCTTACCATCAGCCCCACCAAAACTAAGCACCTGCCTGGGTATTTTGTACCATCGGACACTCCACTCCCACAACTCCCAATCGGTGATGAGGCAGTTGTGGAGAGAGTGGAGAGTTTCCCATACCTGGGCAGTGTGCTTATGACCGGCTCCGGTTTAACAGCAGAGGTCTCACTCCAAATCAGTCGAGCGGCAATATCTTTTCATCGGCTGTGTAACGCTTTTTGGAATCTACCTGGTCTGTCGCTCCGCACGAAGCTTCAGGTCTTCTCGGCCACGGTCATTCCCTCCCTTCTCTACGCTTGCGAAACGTGGACCCCCCTAATGGAACATCTTCGCCGGTTAGAAATATTTAGGCTAGCCTGCCTACGATCAATCCTAGGTTTAACCAGACTGGATTGTGTGAGGAGCTCACAAATCCTTGAAAGATCTGGGCAAGGTCCCATCGGTGAGCTCCTCCGGCAGGCAAGGCTGTGTTGGCTAGGTCATGTGGCCCACATGATGGTGATGTTGATGTACCATCACCCAGGCCTACAGGTGGTGTGTCTGTGATGTTGATGTTGATGGTGATGTTGATGATGATGATGTTAATGATGTTAATGATGATGTTGATGATGTTAATGTACCATCACACAGGCGTACAGGTGGTGTGTTTGTGATGTTAATGTTGTTAATGATGTTGATGATGTTAAGGATGATGATGATGTTATGATGATGATGTTAATGATGATGATGATGTTAATGATGTACCATCACACAGGCGTACAGGTGGTGTGTTTGTGATGATGTTAATGATGATGATGTTGATGATGATGTTGTTGATGATGTTAATGATGATGTTGTTGATGATGTTAATGATGATGATGTTAATGATGATGTTAATGATGTTAATGATGATGTTAATGATGATGATGTTAATGATGTAACATCACACAGGCGTACAGATGGTGTGTTTGTGATGATGTTAATGATGATGTTAATGATGTTAATGATGATGTTAATGATGTTAATGATGATGTTAATGATGATGTTAATGATGATGTTAATGTTGATGATGATGTAACATCACACAGGCGTACAGATGGTGTGTTTGTGCTGTACAAGAGCTGGGCCCCGGGGTTCCTGTGAAGGTTGTTGTGGATGTGCTGAGGCAGGCCTCAAAGGTGAGCAGCCACTCACCACTCACACTCACCACTCACCACTCACCACTAACACTCACCACTCACACTCACCACTCACACTCACTACTCACCACTAACACTCACCACTCACCACTAACACTCACCACTCACCACTCACACTCACCACTCACCACTCACCACTAACACTCACCACTCACCACTCACCACTAACACTCACCACTCACCACTCACCACTAACACTCACCACTCACCACTCACCACTAACACTCACCACTCACCACTAACACTCACCACTCACCACTCACCACTAACACTCACCACTCACACTCACCACTCACACTCACCACTCACACTCACCACTCACACTCACCACTCACACTCACCACTCACACTCACCACTCACACTCACCACTAACACTCACCACTCACACTCACCACTCACACTCACCACTAACACTCACCACTCACACTCACACTCACCACTCAAACTCACCACTAACACTCACCACTCACACTCACCACTCACCACTCACAATCACCACTCACACTCACCACTCACACTCACCACTCACCACTCACAATCACCACTCACACTCACCACTAACACTCACCACTAACACTCACCATTCACACTCACCACTCACACTCACCACTCACACTCACCACTCACCACTCACAATCACCACTAACACTCACCACTCACACTCACCACTCACACTCACCACTAACACTCACCACTAACACTCACCACTCACCACTCACCACTAACACTCACCACTCACCACTCACCACTAACACTCACCACTCACACTCACCACTCACACTCACTACTCACACTCACCACTAACACTCACCACTCACCACTAACACTCACCACTCACACTCACCACTAACACTCACCACTCACACTCACCACTCACACTCACCACTCACACTCAACACTCACACTCACCACTCACACTCACCACTAACACTCACACTCACCACTCACACTCACCACTCACACTCACCACTCACACTCACCACTAACACTCACCACTAACACTCACACTCACCACTCACCACTCACACTCACCACTCACACTCAACACTCACACTCACCACTCACACTCACCACTAACACTCACACTCACCACTCACCACTCACACTCACCACTCACACTCACCACTCACACTCACCACTCACACTCACCACTCACACTCACCACTCACACTCACCACTCACACTCACCACTCACACTCAACACTCACCACTCACACTCACCACTCACACTCACCACTCACACTCAACACTCACACTCACCACTAACACTCACCACTCACACTCACCACTCACACTCACCACTCACACTCACCACTCACACTCACCACTCACACTCACCACTAACACTCACCACTCACCACTCACCACTAACACTCACCACTCACACTCACCACTAACACTCACACTCACCACTCACACTCACCACTCACACTCACCACTCACACTCAACACTCACACTCACCACTCACACTCACCACTAACACTCACACTCACCACTTACCACTAACACTCACCACTCACACTCACCACTCACACTCACCACTCACCACTAACACTCACCACTCACCACTCACCACTAACACTCACCACTCACACTCACCACTAACACTCACACTCACCACTCACACTCACCACTCACACTCAACACTCACACTCACCACTCACACTCACCACTAACACTCACCACTAACACTCACCACTCACACTCACCACTCACACTCACCACTCACACTCAACACTCACACTCACCACTCACCACTAACACTCACCACTCACACTCACCACTCACACTCAACACTCACCACTCACACTCACCACTAACACTCACCACTCACCACTAACACTCACCACTAACACTCACCACTCACCACTGACACTCACCACTGACACCACTCACCACTAACACTCACTACTCACCACTCACACTCACCACTCACACTCACCACTCACACTCACCACTAACACTCACTACTCACCACTGACACTCACCGCTGACACCACTCACCACTAACACTCACTACACACCACTCACACTCACCACTCACACTCACCACTCACACTCACCACTAACACTCACCACTAACACTCACTACTCACCACTAACACTCACCACTAACACTCACTACTCACCACTGACACTCACCGCTGACACCACTCACACTCACCACTAACACTCACTACTCACCACTAACACTCACCACTAACACTCACCACTAACACTCACCAGTGTGTACACTGTGTGTGTGTGTCTGTGTGTACACTGTGTGTGTGTCTGTGTGTGTGAGTACACTGTGTGTGTACACTGTGTGTGTGTGGGTACACTGTGTGTGTGTGCATGTACACTGTGTGTTTGTGTGTGTACACTGTGTGTGTGTGTACACTGTGTCTGTGTGTGTACACTGAATGTGTGTGTACACTGTGTGTGTGTGTGTGTAAACTCTGTGTGTCTGTGTGTGTACACTGTGTGTGTACACTGTGTGTGTGTACACTGTGTGTGTGTGTACACTGTGTGTGTGTGTACACTGTGTGTGTCTGTGTGTGTACACTGTGTGTACACTGTGTGTGTGTGTGTCTGTGTGTGTGTGTACACTGTGTGTGTGTGTACACTGTGTGTGTGTACACTGTGTGTGTGTGTGTGTGTACACTGTGTGTGTGTACACTGTGTGTGTGTGTACACTGTGTGTGTCTGTGTGTGTACACTGTGTGTACACTGTGTGTGTGTGTACACTGTGTGTGTGTGTGTCTGTGTGTGTGTGTACACTGTGTGTGTGTCTGTGTGTGTAAACTGTGTGTGTGTCTGTGTGTACACTGTGTGTGTGTGTACACTGTGTGTACACTGTGTGTGTGTACACTGTGTGTGTGTCTGTGTGTGTCTGTGTGTGTACGCTGTGTGTACACTGTGTGTGTGTACACTGTGTGTGTGTACACTGTGTGTGTGTACACTGTGTGTGTGTATACACTGTGTGTGTACACTGTGTGTGTCTGTGTGTATGTGTGTGTGTGTCTGTGTGTGTACACTGTGTGTGTGTGTGTCTGTGTGTGTGTACACTGTGTGTGTGTCTGTGTGTGTACACTGTGTGTGTGTGTCTGTGTGTGTGTGTGTCTGTGTGTGTGTCTGTGTGTGTGTCCGTGTAGGCGTGTGTGGTCAAGAGGGAGTTCAAGAGAGCGGAACAACTGATCAAGCACGCTGTGTACCTGGCCAGGTGAACACTGCCTGCAGACACACACACACACACAGTGTACACACACACACAGTGTACACACACACACACAGTGTACACACACACACAGTGTACACACACACACACACAGTGTACACACACACACACAGTGTACACACACACACAGTGTACACACACACAGTGTACACACACACACAGTGTACACACACACAGTGTACACACACACACACAGTGTACACACACACACAGTGTACACACACACAGTGTACACACACAGTGTACACACACAGTGTACACACAGTGTGCACACACACACAGTGTACACACACAGTGTACACACACACAGTGTACACACACACACAGTGTACACACACACACAGTGTACACACACAGTGTACACACACACAGTGTACACACACACACACAGTGTACACACAGTGTACACACACAAACAGTGTACACACACACAGTGTACACACACACACAGTGTACACACACAGTGTACACACACACAGTGTGTGTGTACACACACAGTGTACACACACAGTGTACACACACACACAGTGTACACACACACAGTGTACACACACAGTGTACACACACACACACACATTGTACACACACACATTGTACACACACACAGTGTACACATACACACAGTGTACACACACACACAGTGTGTACCCACACACACACACAGTACACACACAGTACACACACAGAGTACACACACACAGTGTACACACACACAGTGTACACACACAGTGTACACACACACACACTGTACACACACAGTGTATACACACACAGTGTACACACACAGTGTACACACACATAGTGTACACACACATAGTGTACACATACACACAGTGTACACATACACACAGTGTACATACACATAGTGTACACATACACACAGTGTACACACACAGTGTAAACACACACACACACACAGTGTACACACACAGTGTACACACACACACACAGTGTACACACACACAGTTTGTACAAACACATACAGTGTATACACATACACACAGTGTACACACACACAGTTTGTACAAATACTTTGTACACTGTGTGTGTACTGTGTGTGTGTACACTGTGTGTACTGTGTGTGTGTACTGTGTGTGTACACTGTGTGTGTGTGTGTATTGTGTGTGTACACTGTGTACACTGCGTGTGTTCTGTGTGTACACTGTGTGTACTGTGTGTGTGTACTGTGTGTGTACACTGTGTGTGTGTGTGTGTATTGTGTGTGTACACTGTGTGTACTGCGTGTGTTCTGTGTGTACACTGTGTGTACTGTGTGTGTGTACTGTGTGTGTACACTGTGTGTGTACTGTGTGTGTACACTCTGTGTGTCTACTGTGTGTGTACTGTGTGTGTGTACGGTGTGTGTGTGCTGTGTGTACACTGTGTATGTACTGTGTGTGTACTGTGTTTGTACTGTGTGTGTACACTGTGTGTGTGTACTATGTGTGTTTACTGTGTGTACACTGTGTGTGTCCTGTGTGTGTGTACTGTGTGTGTTCTGTGTATACACTGTGTGTGTACTGTGTGTGTTCTGTGTGTACACTGTGTGTGTGTGTGTACACTGTGTGTGTGTGTACTGTGTGTGTACTGTGTGTGTACTGTGTGTGTTCTCTGTGTACACTGTGTGTGTACTGTGTACACTGTGTGTGTACACTGTGTGTGTACTGTGTGTACACTATGTGTGTACTGTGTGTGTGTACTGTGTGTGTGTGTACACTGTGTGTGTGTGTACTGTGTGTACACTGTGTGTACTGTGTGTGTACTGTGTGTGTACTGTGTACTGTGTGTGTGTACTGTGTGTACACTGTGTGTGTACTGTGTGTGTTCTGTGTGTACACTGTGTGTGTGTACACTGTGTGTGTGTACTATGTGTGTACTGTGTGTGTTCTGCGTGTACTGTGTGTACGCTGTGTGTGTACTGTGTGTGTACTGTGTGTACACTGTATGTGTACACTGTGTGTGTGTGTGTACACTGTGTACTGTGTGTGTACATTGTGTGTACACTGTGTGTTCTGTGTGTGTACATTGTGTGTACACTGTGTGTACACTGTGTGTGTGTGTACACTGTGTGTGTGTACACTGTTTGTGTGTGTACACTGTGTGTGTGTGTGTACACTGTGTGTGTACTGTGTGTGTACTGTGTACACTGTGTGTGTACTGTGTGTGTACACTGTGTGTACACTGTGTACTGTGTGTGTACTGTGTGTGTACACTGTGTGTGTACACACAGTGTACACACACAGTGTACACTGTGTGTGTACACTGTGTGTGTAGACTGTGTGTTCTGTGTGTACACTGTGTGTGTACTGTGTGTGTATTGTGTGTGTACACTGTGTGTACACTGTGTGTGTGTACTGTGTGTACTGTGTACACTGTGTGTACACTGTGTGTGCGTGTACTGTGTGTGTACACTGTGTACTGTGTGTGTACACTGTGTGTGTACTGTGTACACTGTGTGTACTGTGTGTGTACACTGTGTGTGTACTGTGTACACTGTGTGTACTGTGTGTGTACACTGTGTGTACTGTGTGTTCTGTGTGTGTTCACTGTGTGTACTATGTGTGTACTGTGTACACTGTGTGTGTACTGTGTACACTGTGTACTGTGTGTGTACTGTGTCTGTACTGTGTACACTGTGTACTGTGTGTGTACACTGTGTGTACTCTGTGTGTACTGTGTGTGTACTGTGTACACTGTGTGTACTGTGTGTGTACTGTGTACACTGTGTACTGTGTGTGTACACTGTGTGTACTCTGTGTGTACTGTGTGTGTACTGTGTACACTGTGTGTACTGTGTGTGTACTGTGTACACTGTGTACTGTGTGTGTACTCTGTGTGTACTGTGTGTGCTGTGTGTGTGTTCTGTGTGTACACTGTGTGTGTACACTGTGTGTGTACACTGTGTGTACTGTGTGTGTACTGTGTACACTGTGTGTACTGTGTGTGTACACTGTGTACTGTGTGTGTACTGTGTACACTGTGTACACTGTGTGTGTGCTGTGTGTGTACACTGTGTGTACTGTGTGTTCTGTGTGTACTCTGTGTGTGTACTGTGTGTGTACACTGTGTGTGTACTGTGTGTGTACACTGTGTGTACTGTGTGTGTACTGTGTACACTGTGTGTGTGCTGTGTGTGTGCTGTGTGTGTACACTGTGTGTGTGCTGTGTGTGTACACTGTGTGTACTGTGTGTTCTGTGTGTACACAGGGAACACTTTGGACTCAAGCACCCCAAGTACTCTGACGCTCTGCTGGACTATGGTTTCTACCTCCTCAACGTGGACAACATTTGCCAGTCGGTGACCGTCTACCAGGTGATACACCAGGGTGGACTATCACGTGGGGTGGACTATCACGTGGGGTGGGCTATCACAGGGGGTGGACTATCACGTGGGGTGGACTATCACACGTGGGGTGGACTATCACGTGGGGTGGACTATCACGTGGGGTGGACTATCACGGCGGGTGGACTATCACAGGGGGTGGACTATCACGTGGGAGTGACTATCACGTTGGGGTGGACTATCACGTGGGGTGGACTATCACAGGGGGTGGGCTATCACGGGGGGCGGACTATCACGTGGGGTGGACTATCACGGGGGGGTGGACGATCACGGGTGGTGGACTATCACGTGGGGTGGACTTTCACAGGGGTGGTGGACTATCACAGGGGTGGTGGACGATCACAGGGGTGGTGGACTATCACGTGGGGTGGACTATCACGTGGGTTGGACGATCACAGGGGTGGTGGACTATCACGTGGGGTGGACTATCACGTTGGGGTGGTGGACTATCACGTGGGGTGGACTATCACGTGGGGTGGACTATCACGTGGGTTGGACGATCACAGGGGTGGTGGACTATCACGTGGGGTGGACTATCACGTTGGGGTGGTGGACTATCACGTGGGGTGGACTATCACGTGGGGTGGACACTCAGCTCACCCCCCCCCCCCCCACCGCCCCCCTAGGCTGCGCTGGACATTCGCCAGTCCGTGTTTGGGGGTAACAACATCCACGTGGCCATCGCCCATGAGGACTTGGCCTACTCTTCCTACGTGCACCAGTACAGCTCCGGCAAGTTCGACAACGCGCTGTGAGTACGAGTCGCCCCTTAGTCACCCCTGTAGTCACCCCTTAGTCACCCTGTAGTCACCCTGTAGTCACCCTGTAGTCACCCCTGTAGTCACCCGGCAGGACTTGGCCTACTCTTCCTACGTGCACCAGTACAGCTCCGGCAAGTTCGACAACGCGCTGTGAGTACGAGTCGCCCCTTAGTCACCCCTGTAGTCACCCCTTAGTCACCCTGTAGTCACCCTGTAGTCACCCTGTAGTCACCCCTGTAGTCACCCGGCAGGACTTGGCCTACTCTTCCTACGTGCACCAGTACAGCTCCGGCAAGTTCGACAACGCGCTGTGAGTACGAGTCGCCCCTTAGTCACCCCTGTAGTCACCCCTTAGTCACCCTGTAGTCACCCTGTAGTCACCCTGTAGTCACCCCTGTAGTCACCCGGCAGGACTTGGCCTACTCTTCCTACGTGCACCAGTACAGCTCCGGCAAGTTCGACAACGCGCTGTGAGTACGAGTCGCCCCTTAGTCACCCCTGTAGTCACCCCTTAGTCACCCTGTAGTCACCCTGTAGTCACCCTGTAGTCACCCCTGTAGTCACCCGGCAGGACTTGGCCTACTCTTCCTACGTGCACCAGTACAGCTCCGGCAAGTTCGACAACGCGCTGTGAGTACGAGTCGCCCCTTAGTCACCCCGTAGTCACCCTGTAGTCACCCTGTAGTCACCCCTGTAGTCACCCGGCAGGACTTGGCCTACTCTTCCTACGTGCACCAGTACAGCTCCGGCAAGTTCGACAACGCGCTGTGAGTACGAGTCGCCCCTTAGTCGCCCCTTAGTCACCCCTGTAGTCACCCTGTAGTCACCCTGTAGTCACCCCGTAGTCACCCGGCAGGACTTGGCCTACTCTTCCTACGTGCACCAGTACAGCTCCGGCAAGTTCGACAACGCGCTGTGAGTACGAGTCGCCCCTTAGTCACCCCTGTAGTCACCCCTTAGTCACCCTGTAGTCACCCTGTAGTCACCCTGTAGTCACCCCTGTAGTCACCCGGCAGGACTTGGCCTACTCTTCCTACGTGCACCAGTACAGCTCCGGCAAGTTCGACAACGCGCTGTGAGTACGAGTCGCCCCTTAGTCGCCCCTTAGTCACCCCTTAGTCACCCCTGTAGTCACCCTGTAGTCACCCTGTAGTCACCCCGTAGTCACCCGGCAGGACTTGGCCTATTCTTCCTACGTGCACCAGTACAGCTCCGGCAAGGTCGACAACGCGCTGTGAGTACGAGTCGCCCCTTAGTCACCCCTGTAGTCACCCCTTAGTCACCCTGTAGTCACCCTGTAGTCACCCCTGTAGTCACCCGGCAGGACTTGGCCTACTCTTCCTACGTGCACCAGTACAGCTCCGGCAAGTTCGACAACGCGCTGTGAGTACGAGTCGCCCCTTAGTCACCCCTGTAGTCACCCCTTAGTCACCCTGTAGTCACCCTGTAGTCACCCCTGTAGTCACCCGGCAGGACTTGGCCTACTCTTCCTACGTGCACCAGTACAGCTCCGGCAAGTTCGACAACGCGCTGTGAGTACGAGTCGCCCCTTAGTCACCCTGTAGTCACCCTGTAGTCACCCTGTAGTCACCCTGTAGTTGCCCTGTAGTCGCCCCTTAGTCGCTCCTTAGTCACCCCTGTAGTCGCCCCTTAGTCACCCTGTAGTCACCCTGTAGTCACCCTGTAGTCACCCCTTAGTCACCCTGTAGTCGCCCTGTAGTCGCCCCTTAGTCACCCTGCCGGTGTAGTCACCCTTAGTCAACCCTGTAGTCACCCCTTAGTCACCCTGTAGTCACCCCTTAGTCACCCCTTAGTCACCCCTTAGTCACCCTGTAGTCACCCTGTAGTCACCCCTTAGTCACCCTGTAGTCGCCCTGTAGTCGCCCCTTAGTCACCCTGCCGGTGTAGTCACCCTTAGTCAACCCTGTAGTCACCCCTTAGTCACCCTGTAGTCACCCCTTAGTCACCCCTTAGTCACCCCTTAGTCACCCTGTAGTCACCATGTAGTCACCCCTTAGTCACCCCTCAGTCACCCCTTAGTCACCCCTTAGTCACCCTGTAGTCGCCCTGTAGTCACCCTGTAGTCACCCCTGTAGTCACCCTTAGTCACCCTTAGTCACCCTTAGTCACCCCTGTAGTCACCCTGTAGTCACCCTGTAGTCGCCCTGTAGTCGCCCCTTAGTCACCCTTAGGTCACCCCTTAGTCACCCCGTAGCCACCCCTTAGTCACCCCTTAGTCACCCTGTAGTCACCCCTTAGTCGCCCTGTAGTCACCCTGTAGTCACCCTGTAGTCACCCCTTAGTCACCCCTTAGTCACCCCTTAGTCGCCCTTTAGTCGCCCTTTAGTCACCCCTTACTCACCCCTGTAGTCACCCCTTAGTCACCCTGTAGTCACCCCTTAGTCGCCCCTTAGTCGCCCCTTAGTCACCCTGTAGCCACCCCTTAGTCACCCCTTAGTCACCCTGTAGTCACCCCTTAGTCACCCTGTAGTCACCCTGTAGTCACTCTGCCGGTGTAGTCACTCGTCTCTCCCCCCACTCACCCCCCACTCACCCCCCCCCTCACCCCCCCCTCACCCCCCCCTCACCCCCCCCACTCACCCCCCCCTCACCCCCCCCACTCACCCCCCCCTCACCCCCCCCCTCACCCCCCACTCCCCCCCCCCCCCCACCACAGGTTTCACGCTGAACGAGCTATCGACATTATAACACGTATCCTGCCGGACGATCACCTCCTGCTAGCCTCGTCCAAGAGGGTGAAAGGTGGTGGACTCACTCACTCACTCACCCACTCACCCACTCAGTCACCCACTCACCCACTCAGTCACCCACTCACTCACTCACTCACCCACTCACTCACTCACTCACCCACTCACTCACTCACCCACTCACTCACCCACTCAGTCACTCACCTACTCACTCACTCACTCACCCACCCACTCACTCACTCACCCACTCACTCAATAACTCACCCACTCACTCAGTCACCCACTCACTCACTCACCCACTCACTCACTCACTCAATAACTCACCCACTCACTCAGTCACCCATTCACTCACCCACTCACTCACTCACTCACTCACCCACTCACTCACCCACTCACCCACTCAGTCACTCACCCACTCACTCACTCACTCACCCACTCACTCAGTCACCCACTCAGTCACCCACTCACTCACTCACTCAGTCACCCACTCACCCACTCACCCACTCACTCACCCACTCACCCACTCACTCACCCACTCACCCACTCACTCACTCACCCACTCACTCACTCACCCACTCACCCACTCACCCACCCACTCACTCACCCACTCACTCACTCACTCACCCACTCACCCACTCACTCACTCACTCAGTCACCCACTCACTCACCCACTCACCCACTCACTCACTCACCCACTCACTCACTCACCCACTCACTCACCCACTCACTCACCCACGCACTCACCCACTCACTCACTCACCCACTCACTCACTCACCCACCCACTCACTCACTCACTCACCCACCCACCCACTCACTCACCCACTCACTCACCCACTCACTCACCCACCCACTCACTCACCCATTCACCCACGCACTCACCCACTCACTCACTCACCCACCCACTCACTCACCCACCCACTCACTCACTCACTCACCCACCCACCCACTCACTCACTCACCCACCCACCCACTCACTCACCCACCCACCCACTCACTCACTCACCCACTCACTCACCCACTCACTCACTCACTCACCCACTCACCCACCCACTCACTCACCCACTCACTCACTCACCCACTCACTCACTCACCCACCCACTCACTCACTCACCCACTCACCTACTCACTCACCCACTTACTCACTCACTCACCCACCCACTCACTCACTCACTCACCCACTCACTCACTCACTCACCCACCCACCCACTCACTCACTCACCCACCCACTCACTCACTCACCCACTCACTCACCCACTCACATCCTCACCCACTCACTCACCTACCCACCCACCCACTCACTCACCTACTCACCCACCCACCCACTCACTCACCCACTCACCCACTCACTCACCCACTCACCCACTCACTCACTCACCCACTCACCCACTCACCCACCCACTCACTCACCCACTCACTCACTCACCCACTCACCCACTCACCCACTCACCCACTCACTCAGTCACCCACTCACTCACCCACTCACCCACCCACTCACTCACCCACTCACTCACTCACTCACCCACTCACCCACTCACTCACTCACTCAGTCACCCACTCACTCACCCACTCACCCACTCACTCACTCACCCACTCACTCACTCACCCACTCACTCACCCACGCACTCACCCACTCACTCACTCACCCACTCACTCACTCACCCACCCACCCACTCACTCACTCACCCACCCACCCACTCACTCACCCACTCACTCACCCACTCACTCACTCACCCACCCACTCACCCACCCACTCACTCACCCATTCACCCACGCACTCACCCACTCACTCACTCACCCACCCACTCACCCACCCACTCACTCACTCACTCACCCACCCACCCACTCACTCACTCACCCACCCACCCACTCACTCACCCACCCACCCACTCACTCACTCACTCACCCACTCACTCACTCACTCACCCACTCACCCACCCACTCACTCACCCACTCACTCACTCACCCACTCACTCACTCACTCACCCACTCACTCACTCACCCACTTACTCACTCACCCACCCACCCACTCACTCACTCACTCACCCACTCACTCACTCACTCACCCACCCACCCACTCACTCACTCACCCACCCACTCACTCACTCACCCACTCACTCACCCACTCACATCCTCACCCACTCACTCACCTACCCACCCACCCACTCACTCACCTACTCACCCACCCACTCACTCACCCACTCACCCACTCACATCATCACTCACCCACTCACTCACCCACTCACCCACCCACTCACTCACCCACTCACCCACTCACCCACTCACTCACCCACTCACCCACTCACCCACTCACTCACTCACCCACCCACCCACTCACCCACCCACTCACTCACCCACTCACCCACTCACCCACTCACTCACTCACCCACCCACTCACTCACCCACTCACCCACCCACTCACTCACCCACTCACCCACCCACCCACCCACTCACCCACTCACTCACCCACCCACTCACCTACTCACTCACCCACTCACCCACTCACTCACCCACCCAACCACTCACTCACCCACCCACCCACCCACTCACTCACTCACTCACCCACCCACTCACTCACCCACTCACCCACTCACCCACTCACCCACCCACTCACTCACCCACCCACTCACTCACTCACCCACTCACCCACTCACTCACTCACCCACTCACCCACCCACTCACTCACTCACTCACCCACCCACTCACTCACCCACCCACTCACTCACCCACCCACTCACTCACCCACTCGCTCACCCACTCACTCACCCACCCACTCACCCACTTGCCTTTGTTGTTGTCGTGGTTGTGGGCAGCGTTGATCCTGGAGGAGATAGCCATCGACTGCCACAACACCCACTCACTCACCCACCCACCCACCCACTCACTCACCCACCCACTCACTCACTCACCCACTCACCCACTCACCCACTCACTCACTCACCCACCCACCCACCCACTCACTCACCCACCCACCCACCCACTCACTCACTCACCCACTCACTCACCCACTCACCCACTCACTCACCCACTCACTCACCTACTCACTCACCCACTCACTCACCCACTCACCCACTCACTCACTCACCCACTCACCCACTCACTCACTCACCCACTCACTCACTCATCTACTCACTCACTCACCCACTCACTCACTCATCTACTCATCTACTCACTCACTCACCCACTCACCCACTCACTCACTCACCCACTCACTCACTCATCTATTCACTCACTCACTCACTCACCCACTCACTCATCTACTCATCTACTCACTCACTCACCCACTCACCCACTCGCCTTTGTTGTTGTTGTCGTGGTTGTGGTCAGCGTTGATCCTGGAGGAGATAGCCATCGACTACCACAACACCCACTCACTCACCCACCCACTCACTCACCCACTCACTCACTCACCCACTCACCCACGCACTCACCCACGCACTCACCCACTCACTCACTCACCCACCCACTCACTCACCCACCCACTCACTCACTCACTCACCCACCCACTCACTCACTCACCCACTCACCCACTCACTCACTCACCTACCAACCCACCCACTCACTCACCTACTCACCCACCCACTCACTCACTCACCCACTCACTCACCCACTTGTTGTTGTTGTTGTGGTCAGCGTTGATCCTGGAGGAGATAGCCATCGACTACCACAACACCCACCCACTCACCCACTCACTCACTCACCCACTCACCCACCCACTCACTCACCTACCAACCCACCCACTCACTCACCTACTCACCCACCCACCCACCCACTCACCCACCCACCCACTCACCCACTCACTCACCTACTCACTCACCCACCCACCCACTCACCCACCCACCCACTCACCCACTCACTCACCCACTCACTCACCCACCCACTCACCCACTCACTCACCCACCCAACCACTCACTCACTCACCCACCCACTCACTCACCCACCCACTCACCCACTCACCTACCCACCCACTCACCCACTCACCCACTCACTCACCCACTCACTCACTCACCCACTCACTCACCCACTCACTCACTCATCTACTCACTCACTCACCCACTCACCCACTCACCCACTCACTCACTCACCCACCCACCCACTCACTCACCCACTCACCCACTCACTCACTCACCCACTCACTCACCCACTCACTCACTCATCTACTCACTCACTCACCCACTCACCCACTCACCCACTCACTCACTCGCCTTTGTTGTTGTTGTCGTGGTTGTGGTCAGCGTTGATCCTGGAGGAGATAGCCATCGACTGCCACAACACCCACTCACTCACCCACTCACTCACTCACTCACTCACCCACTCACTCACCCACTCACTCACTCACCCACTCACTCACTCACCCACCCACTCACTCACCCACTCACTCACTCACCCACCCACTCACTCACTCACTCACCCACCCACCCACCCACTCACTCACTCACTCACCCACTCACTCACCCACTCACTCACCCACTCACTCACCCACTCACCTACTCACCCACTCACCCACTCACTCACCCACTTGTTGTTGTCGTGGTTGTGGTCAGCGTTGATCCTGGAGGAGATAGCCATCGACTGCCACAACACCCACTCACTCACCCACTCACCCACTCACTCACCCACTCACTCACTCACCCACTCACCCACGCACTCACCCACGCACTCACCCACTCACTCACTCACCCACCCACTCACTCACCCACCCACTCACTCACTCACTCACCCACCCACTCACTCACTCACCCACTCACCCACCCACTCACTCACCTACCAACCCACCCACTCACTCACCTACTCACCCACCCACTCACCCACTCACCCACTCACTCACCCACCCACTCACTCACCCACTCACTCACCCACTCACTCACCCACTCACTCACCCACTCACTCACTCACCCACCCACTCACCCACTCACCCACTCACCCACTCACCCACTTGCCTTTGTTGTTGTTGTTGTCGTGGTTGTGGTCAGCGTTGATCCTGGAGGAGATAGCCATCGACTGCCACAACAAGGAGACGGAGTCTCGGCTGCTTCAGGAGGCTCACGAGCTGCACCTCTCCTCGCTGCACCTCGCCAAGAAGGCCTTCGGGGAGTTCAACGTACAGACGGCCAAGCACTACGGCAACCTGGGACGCCTCTACCAGTCGATGCGCAAGTACAAGGTGAGAGGCAGAGAGAGAGACACGGGGGGAGAGACACGGGGAGAGAGAGAGAGAGAGACACGGGGAGAGAGAGAGAGACACGGGGAGAGAGAGACACGTGGGGAGAGCGAGCCAGAGAGAGAGACACGGGGAGAGAGACACGGGGAGAGAGAGAGAGAGACACGGGGAGAGAGACACGGGGAGAGAGAGAGACACGGGGAGAGACACGGGGAGAGAGAGAGAGACACGGGGGGAGAGACACGGGGAGAGAGAGAGAGAGACACGGGGAGAGACACGGGGAGAGAGAGACGCGGGGAGACGTGGAGAGAGACACGGGGAGAGAGAGGCAGAGAGACACGTGGGGAGAGAGAGGCAGAGAGAGAGACACACGTGGAGAGACACGGGGAGAGAGAGAGAGAGACACGGGGAGAGAGAGAGACACGGGGAGAGAGAGAGAGAGACACGGGGAGAGAGAGGCAGAGAGAGAGAGAGAGACACGGGGAGAGAGAGAGAGAGAGGCAGAGAGAGAGACATGGGGAGAGAGAGAGAGAGACACGGGGAGAGATAGAGAGACACGGGGAGAGAGAGAGACACGGGGAGAGAGAGAGAGAGACACGGGGAGAGACACGGGGAGAGAGAGAGAGAGACACGGGGAGAGAGAGAGGCAGAGAGAGACACGGGGAGAGAGAGAGAGAGACACGGGGAGAGACACGGGGAGAGAGAGAGAGAGACACGGGGAGAGAGAGAGGCAGAGAGAGACACGGGGAGAGAGACACGGGGAGAGAGAGAGAGAGACACGGGGAGAGACACGGGGAGAGAGAGAGAGAGACACGGGGAGAGAGAGAGGCAGAGAGAGACACGGGGAGAGAGACACGGGGAGAGAGAGAGAGACACGGGGAGAGAGACACGGGGAAAGAGAGAGACACGGGGAGAGACACGGGGAGAGAGAGAGAGACACGGGGAGAGACACGGGGAGAGAGAGGCAGAGAGAGAGAGAGAGAGACGGGGAGAGAGAGAGAGACACGGGGAGAGAGAGAGAGACACGGGGAGAGAGAGAGAGAGAGACATGGGGAGAGACACGGGGAGAGAGAGAGAGAGACACGGGGAGAGAGAGAGGCAGAGAGAGACACGGGGAGAGAGACACGGGGAGAGAGAGAGAGACACGGGGAGAGACACGGGGAGAGAGAGGCAGAGAGAGAGAGAGAGAGACGGGGAGAGAGAGAGAGACACGGGGAGAGAGAGAGAGACACGGGGAGAGAGAGAGAGAGAGAGAGACATGGGGAGAGACACGGGGAGAGAGAGAGAGAGACACGGGGAGAGAGAGAGGCAGAGAGAGACACGGGGAGAGAGACACGGGGAGAGAGAGAGAGAGAGAGAGAGACACGGGGAGAGAGACACGGGGAGAGAGAGAGACACGGGGAGAGAGAGGCAGAGATAGACACGGGGAGACGTGGAGAGAGAGACACGGGGAGAGAGAGAGACGCGGGGAGAGAGAGGCGGAGAGAGAGACACGGGGAGAGAGAGGCGGAGAGAGAGACACGGGGAGAGAGAGAGAGACACGGGGAGAGAGAGACACGGGGAGAGAGAGGCAGAGAGAGAGACACGGGGAGAGAGAGAGACACGGGGAGAGAGAGGCAGAGAGAGACGCGGGGAGAGAGAGAGACACGGGGAGAGAGAGGCAGAGAGAGACGCGGGGAGAGAGAGAGAGACACGGGGAGAGAGAGAGACACGGGGAGAGAGAGGCGGAGAGAGAGACACGGGGAGAGAGAGAGAGACACGGGGAGAGAGAGGCAGAGAGAGACGCGGGGAGAGAGAGAGACACGGGGAGAGAGAGGCAGAGAGAGACGCGGGGAGAGAGAGAGAGACACGGGGAGAGAGGCAGAGAGAGACACGGGGAGAGAGAGGCAGAGAGAGACACGGGGAGAGAGAGAGAGGCAGAGAGAGACACGGGGAGAGAGAGACACGGGGAGAGAGAGGCGGAGAGAGAGACACGGGGAGAGAGAGGCAGAGAGAGACACGGGGAGAGAGAGAGACACTTGGGGAGAGAGAGGCAGAGAGAGAGACACGGGGAGACGTGGAGAGAGAGAGAGACGGGGAGAGAGAGGCGGAGAGACACGGGGAGAGAGAGGCAGAGAGACACATGGGGAGAGAGAGAGACACGTGGGGAGAGAGAGGCAGAGAGAGACACGGGGAGAGAGAGAGGCAGAGAGAGACACGGGGAGAGAGAGAGAAACACGGGGAGAGAGAGACACGGGGAGAGAGAGGCGGAGAGAGAGACACGGGGAGAGAGAGGCAGAGAGACACGTGGGGAGAGAGAGGCAGAGAGAGACACGGGGAGAGAGAGAGACAGAGAGAGAGACACGGGGATACGTGGAGAGAGAGACACGTGGGGAGAGAGAGGCAGAGAGAGACACGGGGAGAGAGAGAGACAGAGAGAGACACGGGGAGATGTGGGGGGAGAGACACGTGGGGAGAGAGAGACACGGGGATAGAGGCGGAGAGAGAGAGACACGTGGGGAGAGAGGCAGAGAGAGAGACACGGGGAGAGAGAGAGACACGGGGAGACGTGGAGAGAGAGACACGTGGGGAGAGAGAGACACGGGGAGAGAGAGGCAGAGAGAGAGAGACACGGGGAGAGAGGCAGAGAGAGAGAGAGACACGGGGAGAGAGAGAGACACGTGGGGAGAGAGAGACACGGGGAGAGAGAGGCAGAGAGAGAGAGACACGGGGAGAGAGACAGAGAGAGAGAGAGACACGGGGAGAGAGAGGCAGAGAGAGACACGGGGAGAGAGAGAGACACGGGGAGCCGTGGGGAGAGAGACACGTGGGGAGAGAGACACGGGGAGAGAGAGGCAGAGAGAGACACGGGGAGAGAGAGGCAGAGAGAGACACGGGGAGAGAGAGAGACACGTGGAGATGTGGAGAGAGAGACACGGGGAGAGAGAGAGACACGGGGAGAGAGAGACACGGGGAGAGAGAGGCAGAGAGGGAGAGACACGGGGAGAGAGAGAGAGAGACACGGGGAGAGAGAGGCAGAGAGAGACACGGGGAGAGAGAGGCAGAGAGAGACACGGGGAGAGAGAGAGACACGTGGAGACGTGGAGAGAGAGAGACACGGGGAGAGAGCGAGACACGGGGAGAGAGAGGCGGAGAGAGAGACACGGGGAGAGAGCGAGACACGTGGGGAGAGAGAGACACGGGGAGAGAGATTCAGGGAGAGAGACACAGGGAGAGAGAGAGACACGTGGGGAGAGAGAGAGACACGGGGAGAGAGAGAGACACGGGGAGAGAGAGAGATACGGGGAGAGAGAGAGACACGGGGAGAGAGATTCAGGGAGAGAGACACAGGGAGAGAGGCAGAGAGAGAGAGAGAGACACGGGGAGAGAGACACGGGGAGAGAGAGAGACGCGTGGGGAAAGAGGGACACGGGGAGAGAGAGAGACACGGGGAGAGAGACACGGGGAGAGAGAGGCAGAGAGAGACACGGGGAGACGTGGGGAGAGAGACACAGGGAGAGAGACAGAGCGAGAGACAGGGGGAGATGTGGGGAGAGAGACACGGGGAGAGAGACACGGGGAGAGAGAGGCAGAGAGAGAGACACGAAGAGACGTGGGGAGAGACAGAGAGAGAGACACGGGGAGAGAGAGAGACACGGAGAGACTTGGGGAGAGAGACACAGGGAGCGAGACACGGGGAGAGAGAAACAGGGAGAGAGACACGGGGAGAGAGACAGAGAGAGAGACAGGGAGAGACACGGGGAGAGAGACACAGGGAGACGTGGGGAGAGACAGAGAGAGAGACACGGGAGAGACACGGGGAGACATGGGGAGAGACACAGGGAGAGAGACAGAGCGAGAGCCACGGGAGAGAGACACGGGGAGAGAGAGAGGCAGAGAGAGAGACACGGAGAGACGTGGGGAGAGAGACACAGAGAGAGAGACACGGGGAGAGAGACACGGGGAGAGATACACGGGGAGAGAGAGAGGCAGAGAGAGAGACACGGAGAGACGTGGGGAGAGAGACACAGAGAGAGAGACACGGGAAGAGAGACACGGGGAGAGAGACACGGGGAGAGAGACACAGACAGAGAGAGAGACGTGGGGAGGGAGACACAGAGTGTGACTGTGTGTGACTGTGTGTGACTGTGTGTGTGTGTGACTGTGTGTGTGTGTGTGAGACTGTGTGTGTGACTGTGTGTGTGTGTTACTGTGTGTGTGTTACTGTGTGTGTGACTGTGTGTGACTGTGTGTGTGTGACTGTGTGTGTGTGTGTGACTGTGTGTGTGACTGTGTGTGTGACTGTGTGTGTGTGTGACTGTGTGTGTGTGTGTGACTGTGTGTGTGTGTGACTGTGTGTGTGTGCGACTGTGTGTGTGTGTGGCAAAACAACCCCCTACCTCCTCGCGGTGCCGGACGGGCAACTCTGTCGTGGACAGCGCTGTGGGGGGAGATCCAATTTTGATTGGCTCCTCCCCTCATGGCATATGTGTCCACCACAGGGGCTAAACGGGGGCTCTGGACGGGTGCGAGGGGCTGGTAACCCCTCCACCTTCAATTAATTACCACGAAACCACGAATTAAACTGAAATATGTAACAACTAAGCTTGTGCCGGAGGCCCCGGGGGGCCAGGCGTCTATGACGTCTCCTGGCCAAACCCCAATTGGCGGAGCCAGGAGATTGAATACCTACCCTCGGGGCTACTCCAGAAACAACGAAAAGCCACTACGGGTGGCCACGTGGAATGTTCGAACGCTCACTGCAGAGGAGAGGCTGCCACTCCTCTGTCGGGAGCTGGACCGGTACCGCCTGGATCTATGCGGCATTCAGGAGGTCCGGTGGACCGGCTCTGGCTCCTGCCACCATGAGGGGTGGACAGTCCTCTACTCGGGGCAGCAGACTGCCAAACAACAGGGTGTGGGTCTTCTTTTGAACAAAAGAATGAAGGGGGCGTGGGAGCGTGGCGGTGAGGTGTGGGAAGCTGTAAGCCCCAGGCTACTTTGGGCTCGCCTTCCCATCAACCGGAGGCGAGGAATGGTGGTCGTGGTTACTTATGCCCCCACCGAAGATGAACATCCGTGGAGGGATGCAGGCAAAGCCGATGAGTCAGATGCCTTCTATGACCTCCTGTCACAGGTGCTGGCTAAAGTGGCCCCTCGGGATAGAGTCATCATGTTGGGTGACTTCAATGCCCGAGTTGGTCATGATACTGGCACCTGGTCTGGAGTGATTGGAGGGCATGGGCCAGATCAGCTCAATAACAACGGTAGGAGGCTGCTAGATTTTTGTGCAGCCCATGGGCTTGTAATTACCAACACGCTGTTCCGGCATCGGCGCATCCACACAACATCATGGATGCATGCCGGGTCCAAGCAAGAACATCTGCTGGACTACATAGTGACGGACCAGCGAATGCGAGCCCATGTCCTTGACACCAGGACCTACCGTGGAGCTGATCTGCCCTCTGACCATCGACTAGTCATCTGTAAGATGCGCCTGCCATTCTTCCACTCTGGTGGTGGGTGTACACCCAGGACCCGATTCCAACCTAAAGTGGCCTGGTCTCAGTTATCTGATGAAAGTTGCAAGCGAGAATTTCATCATCGCTTGCGGCTGGGATTGGCATCGTCCCCGACTCCTCCTGATGTCGAGGGTAAATGGGCGAGGTTTAGGACTGTGACTCATGCAGCTGCAATGGCTGCTTTGGGTACGCGGTCCAGACCTCCCCAGACACCCTGGATGACAGAGGAGTTGTTCAGGATGGTTGAGAAAAAGCGACAGGCCCACTGTCATCGGCTACAGAATCCCACGTCAGAGAATGAGGAGGCTTACCGCAGCCTTCGCTCGGAGGTTCGGAGAGCCGTGAGGCGCTGCAAGGATGGGTGGTGGTCGCGGGTTGCTGAGGAGATGGAGTCTGCCTCAGTGGCCCGTGATCACAAATCTCTATTTAACTCCATCAAAAAAGTAACCTGCAGCGCCACACCTATTACCATCATTAGGGGAAAAAACGGTGATCCAATTTCCGACCCCGAGGAACAGGTTCGCAGATTTGCTGAGCATTTCTGTGAGGTCCTGGGGGAGGGAATATCCCTCAGCCAGGAAAACATCGTGGCACAAAGTGAGGATGACCCTGCTGAGGCTGCGGTGCCTCAAATATTGGATGAAGTCACCCCCTGTGAGTGGCTGGCTGAGGTGCCATCTGCTGAGGAAGTATTGAAGGCTATCCGGAGTCTGAGACCAGGAAAGGCAGCGGGCAGAGATGATCTCCCAAGCGAAATGCTGAGGGAGGGTGGCGTTTGTGCACAGACTGCCCTATATGACATCATAACAACAGTCTGGACCGCTGGACGGGTTCCGCAGGATTGGAAGGATGCCCTGGTGGTCCCCCTTTTTAAGAAGGGGGACCGCACAGACTGTAACAACTACAGGGGCATCTCACTTCTCAGTGTGCCGGGAAAGGTCCTGGCAAGGATTATTCAGCATCGCCTTGCCAGGCACGCTGAGGAGAGGCTTGCGGAGCCCCAATGCGGTTTCAGGAAAGGGCGGTCCTGCACAGATGCCATATTTTCTGTCCGTCTGCTACAGCAGAGGTGTAGGGAATTCCAACAAGACCTACATCTCTGCTTTATTGACCTGGTCAAGGCCTATGATACCATCAGTAGGCCTGGGCTCTGGGTCGTTCTTCATGCTTTTGGAGTACCTGACCCTCTGCTCACGATCATTAAGGACCTTCATGATGGTGAGCGGGCCCGGGTAAAACTACGTGGCCGGGAGTCAGAGCCATTCCCTGTACACCTTGGGGTGCGACAGGGATGTCCTCTGGCTCCCACATTATTTAACATCTATTTTGACCACGTAGTTCGTGAAGCCTTCAATAGCTGTACCGGGGGAATCTCCATATGGTACAGATATAATGGGAGGCTAATCGATGCCCGGGTGCGGTCAAGGGATGGCTCCCGATTGCTCAACCACGTTATGTATGCTGATGACTTGGTAATAGCTGCTCAGTCAGAGGAGGAGTTGGAGACGCTGCTGCTGAGACTGGAGCGTGCCACTAAGAGGTGGGGCCTTACCATCAGCCCCACCAAAACTAAGCACCTGCCTGGGTATTTTGTACCATCGGACACTCCACCCCCACAACTCCCAATCGGTGATGGAGCAGTTGTGGAGAGAGTGGAGAGTTTCCCATACCTGGGCAGTGTGCTTATGACTGGCTCCAGTTTAACAGCAGAGGTCTCACTCCGAATCAGTCGAGCGGCAATATCTTTTCATCGGTTGCGTAACGCTGTGTGGAAGCTACCTGGTCTGTCGCTCCGCACTAAGCTTCAGGCCTTCTCGGCCACGGTCATTCCCTCCCTTCTCTTCGCTTGCGAAACGTGGACCCCCCTAATGGAACATCTTCGCCGGTTAGAAACATTTAGGCTGGCCTGCCTACGATCCATCCTGGGTTTAACCAGACTGGATTGTGTGAGGAGCTCACAAATCCTTGAAAGATCTGGGCAGGGTCCCATCGGTGAGCTCCTCCGGCAGGCAATGCTGCGATGGCTGGGTCATCTAGCCCGCATGCCCAGCCACTGCATGCCGAAACAGCTTTTGTTTGGCCGGATTGAGGGGGCTAAGTGGGCGCGGCACGGGCTAGAGAAGAGATGGAGTGATGTGGTACAGGAGGACGTGGAGCTGAGTGGACTTGCCGATGACTGGTACCAGCGGTGTCAAGATCGGCCTCTGTGGAGGAGGCTCGTGAAGGATGCTACTGGGCAGTTGGAGGCAGTCGCCCTCCAACAACAACGGAGGGCGGAGGAGCGACGCTCACAACAGCGAGCGGAGCGCCGGGTGGCTAAAGCACAGCAGGTTGGCACAGTAGGGGGCACAGGTGGTGCATCAGCCAGTCATCTCAGTCGACCCGTGGCACCTGGGTCTGCCCCGTGACCTCCTGCCAGCGGGCGTTCGACACTTCACGTGGCCTCAGGGTGCACATAGCCTGGCACAAGCGTCGTGGTGACGTCACCGCCACTTAGTGGCGAATGGCGGTTGTTGTTGTTGTTGTGTGTGACTGTGTGTGTGTGTGTGACTGTGTGTGTGTGTGACTGTGTGTGACTGTGTGTGACTGTGTGTGTGACTGTGTGTGTGTGACTGTGTGTGTGTGTCTGTGTGTGTGTGACTGTGTGTGTGACTGTGTGTGTGTGACTGTGTGTGTGTGTGTGACTGTGTGTGTGTGTGTGACTGTGTGTGTGTGTGTGACTGTGTGTGTGACTGTGTGTGACTGTGTGTGTGTGTGACTGTGTGTGTGTGTGTGACTGTGTGTGTGTGTGACTGTGTGTGTGACTGTGTGTGTGACTGTGTGTGTGTGACTGTGTGTGTGTGTGACTGTGTGTGTGTGTGACTGTGTGTGTGTGTGTGACTGTGTGTGTGACTGTGTGTGACTGTGTGTGTGTGTGACTGACTGTGTGTGACTGTGTGTGTGTGACTGTGTGTGTGTGTGACTGTGTGTGTGTGTGACTGTGTGTGTGTGATTGTGTGTGTGTGACTGTGTGTGTGTGACTGTGTGTGTGTGTGTGACTGTGTGTGTGTGACTGTGTGTGTGTGACTGTGTGTGTGTGTGACTGTGTGTGTGTCTGTGCGCAGGAGGCTGAGGAGATGCACGTGAAGGCCATCCAGATCAAGGAGCAGCTTCTGGGCGACGAGGATTATGAAGTGGCCCTCTCTGTGGGCCACCTGGCCTCACTCTACAACTACGACATGCACCTGTACAGTGATGCTGAGCGTCTCTACCTGAGGTCCATCGCCATCGGTACACACACACACACCTACACACAGACACATACAGACACACACACAGACACACACACACACACCTACACACACACACACCTACACACACACACCTACACACACACACACCTACACACACACACACCTACACACACACCTACACACACACCTACACACACACACACCTACACACACACACCTACACACACCTACACACACACCTACACACACCTACACACACACCTACACACACACACCTACACACACACACCTACACACACACCTACACACACCTACACACACACCTACACACACACACACACCTACACACACACACCTACACACACACACCTACACACACACACACCTACACACACGAAGTGGCCCTCTCCGTGGGCCACCTGGCCTCACTCTACAACTACGACATGCACCTGTACAGTGATGCTGAGCGTCTCTACCTGAGGTCCATCGCCATCGGTACACACACACACACACACCTACACACAGACACATACAGACACACACACACACCTACACACACACACCTACACACACACCTACACACACACCTACACATTTACACACCTACACACACCTACACACACACCTACACTTACACACACCTACACACACACCTATACACACACACCTACACACACACCTACACACACACACCTACACACACATACACCTACACACACACACACCTACACACACACACCTACACACACCTACACACACACACCTACACACACGAAGTGGCCCTCTCTGTGGGCCACCTGGCCTCACTCTACAACTACGACATGCACCTGTACAGTGATGCTGAGTGTCTCTACCTGAGGTCCATCGCCATCGGTACACACACACACCTACACACACACACCTACACACACCTACACACACACCTGCTAACACAGCTACACACACACCTACACACCTACACACACACACACACCTACACACACACCTACACACACACCTACACACACACACACACCTACACACACACCTACACACACACACCTACACACACACACACACCTACACACCTACACACACACACCTATACACACACACACACACCTACACACACACACACACCTACACACACACACCTACACACACACACCTACACACACACACCTATACACACACACACACACCTACACACACACACACCTACACACACACACACCTACACACACGAAGTGGCCCTCTCTGTGGGCCACCTGGCCTCACTCTACAACTACGACATGCACCTGTACAGTGATGCTGAGCGGCTCTACCTGAGGTCCATCGCCATCGGTACACAACATACAACAACAACCGCCATTCGCCACTAAGTGGCGGTGACGTCACCACGACGCTTGTGCCAGGCTATGTGCACCCTGAGGCCACGTGAAGTGTCGAACGCCCGCTGGCAGGAGGTCACGGGGCAGACCCAGGTGCCACGGGTCGACTGACTGAGATGACTGGCTGATGCACCACCTGTGCCCCCTACTGTGCCAACCTGCTGTGCTTTAGCCACCCGGCGCTCCGCTCGCTGTTGTGAGCGTCGCTCCTCCGCCCTCCGTTGTTGTTGGAGGGCGACTGCCTCCAACTGCCCAGTAGCATCCTTCACGAGCCTCCTCCACAGAGGCCGATCTTGACACCGCTGGTACCAGTCATCGGCAAGTCCACTCAGCTCCACGTCCTCCTGTACCACATCACTCCATCTCTTCTCTAGCCCGTGCCGCGCCCGCTTAGCCCCCTCAATCCGGCCAAACAAAAGCTGTTTCGGCATGCGGTGGCTGGGCATGCGGGCTACATGACCCAGCCATCGCAGCCTTGCCTGCCGGAGGAGCTCACCGATGGGACCCTGCCCAGATCTTTCAAGGATTTGTGAGCTCCTCACACAATCCAGTCTGGTTAAACCCAGGATGGATCGTAGGCAGGCCAGCCTAAATGTTTCTAACCGGCGAAGATGTTCCATTAGGGGGGTCCACGTTTCGCAAGCGTAGAGAAGGGAGGGAATGACCGTGGCCGAGAAGACCTGAAGCTTAGTGCGGAGCGACAGACCAGGTAGCTTCCACACAGCGTTACGCAACCGATGAAAAGATATTGCCGCTCGACTGATTCGGAGTGAGACCTCTGCTGTTAAACTGGAGCCAGTCATAAGCACACTGCCCAGGTATGGGAAACTCTCCACTCTCTCCACAACTGCCCCATCACCGATTGGGAGTTGTGGGGGTGGAGTGTCCGATGGTACAAAATACCCAGGCAGGTGCTTAGTTTTGGTGGGGCTGATGGTAAGGCCCCACACACCTACACACACACCTACACATACACACACACCTACACACACCTACACACACCTACACACACCTACACACACACCTACACACACATCTACACACACACACACCTACACACACACACCTACACACACACCTACACACACACACCTACACACACACACCTACACACACAACAACAACAACAACCGCCATTCGCCACTAAGTGGCGGTGACGTCACCACGACGCTTGTGCCAGGCTATGTGCACCGTGAGGCCACGTGAAGTGTCGAACGCCCGCTGGCAGGAGGTCACTGGGCAGACCCAGGTGCCACGGGTCGACTGACTGAGATGACTGGCTGATGCACCACCTGTGCCCCCTACTGTGCCCACCTGCTGTGCTTTAGCCACCCGGCGTTCCGCTCGTTGTTGTGAGCGTCGCTCCTCCGCCCTCCGTTGTTGTTGGAGGGCGACTGCCTCCAACTGCCCAGTAGCATCCTTCACGAGCCTCCTCCACAGAGGCCGATCTTGACACCGCTGGTACCAGTCATCGGCAAGTCCACTCAGCTCCACGTCCTCCTGTACCACATCACTCCATCTCTTCTCTAGCCCGTGCCGCGCCCGCTTAGCCCCCTCAATCCGGCCAAACAAAAGCTGTTTCGGCATGCGGTGGCTGGGCATGCGGGCTACATGACCCAGCCATCGCAGCCTTGCCTGCCGGAGGAGCTCACCGATGGGACCCTGCCCAGATCTTTCAAGGATTTGTGAGCTCCTCACACAATCCAGTCTGGTTAAACCCAGGATGGATCGTAGGCAGGCCAGCCTAAATGTTTCTAACCGGCGAAGATGTTCCACCAGGGGGGTCCACGTTTCGCAAGCGTAGAGAAGGGAGGGAATGACCGTGGCCGAGAAGACCTGAAGCTTAGTGCGGAGCGACAGACCAGGTAGCTTCCACACAGCGTTACGCAACCGATGAAAAGATATTGCCGCTCGACTGATTCGGAGTGAGACCTCTGCTGTTAAACTGGAGCCAGTCATGAGCACACTGCCCAGGTATGGGAAACTCTCCACTCTCTCCACAACTGCCCCATCACCGATTGGGAGTTGTGGGGGTGGAGTGTCCGATGGTACAAAATACCCAGGCAGGTGCTTAGTTTTGTTGGGGCTGATGGTAAGGCCCCACCTCTTAGTGGCACGCTCCAGTCTCAGCAGCAGCGTCTCCAACTCCTCCTCTGACTGAGCAGCTATTACCAAGTCATCAGCATACATAACGTGGTTGAGCAATAGGGAGCCATCCCTTGACCGCACCCGGGCATCGATTAGCCTCCCATTATATCTGTACCATATGGAGATTCCCCCGGTACAGCTATTGAAGGCTTCACGAACTACGTGGTCAAAATAGATGTTAAATAATGTGGGAGCCAGAGGACATCCCTGTCGCACCCCAAGGTGTACAGGGAATGGCTCTGACTCCCGGCCACGTAGTTTTACCCGGGCCCGCTCACCATCATGAAGGTCCTTAATGATCGTGAGCAGAGGGTCAGGTACTCCAAAAGCACGAAGAACGACCCAGAGCCCAGGCCTACTGATGGTATCATAGGCCTTGACCAGGTCAATAAAGCAGAGATGTAGGTCTTGTTGGAATTCCCTACACCTCTGCTGTAGCAGACGGACAGAAAATATGGCCTCTGTGCAGGACCGCCCTTTCCTGAAACCGCATTGGGGCTCCGCAAGCCTCTCCTCAGCGTGCCTGGCAAGGCGATGCTGAATAATCCTTGCCAGGACCTTTCCCGGCACACTGAGGAGTGAGATGCCCCTGTAGTTGTTACAGTCTGTGCGGTCCCCCTTCTTAAAAAGGGGGACCACCAGGGCATCCTTCCAATCCTGCGGAACCCGTCCAGTGGTCCAGACTGTTGTTATGATGTCATATAGGGCAGTCTGTGCACAAACGCCACCCTCCCTCAGCATTTCGCTTGGGAGATCATCTCTGCCCGCTGCCTTTCCTGGTCTCAGACTCCGGATCGCCTTCAATACTTCCTCAGCAGATGGCACCTCAGCCAGCCACTCACAGGGGGTGACTTCATCCAATATTTGAGGCACCGCAGCCTCAGCAGGGTCATCCTCACTTTGTGCCATGGTGTTTTCCTGGCTGAGGGATTTTCCCTCCCCCAGGACCTCACAGAAATGCTCAGCAAATCTGCGAACCTGTTCCTGGGGGTCGGAAATTGGATCACCGTTTTTTCCCCTAATGATGGTAATAGGTGTGGCGCTGCAGGTTACTTTTTTGATGGAGTTAAATAGAGATTTGTGATCACGGGCCACTGAGGCAGACTCCATCTCCTCAGCAACCCGCGACCACCACCCATCCTTGCAGCGCCTCACGGCTCTCCGAACCTCCGAGCGAAGGCTGCGGTAAGCCTCCTCATTCTCTGACGTGGGATTCTGTAGCCGATGACAGTGGGCCTGTCGCTTTTTCTCAACCATCCTGAACAACTCCTCTGTCATCCAGGGTGTCTGGGGAGGTCTGGACCGCGTACCCAAAGCAGCCATTGCAGCTGCATGAGTCACAGTCCTAAACCTCGCCCATTTACCCTCGACATCAGGAGGAGTCGGGGACGATGCCAATCCCAGCCGCAAGCGATGATGAAATTCTCGCTTGCAACTTTCATCAGATAACTGAGACCAGGCCACTTTACGTTGGAATGGGGTCCTGGGTGTACACCCACCACCAGAGTGGAAGAATGGCAGGTGCATCTTACAGATGACTAGTCGATGGTCAGAGGGCAGATCA